TTGGTAAATTTTTCAAGAGCAACAAATCAGTGTTTAAAGAAATGAAGGAAGGACACAGATTTAGTTCATTGTACAGTAAATAGTACGTGCAACATAGTATAAGCCTGAATTATTTAGAGATTGGAGATATTTATTTATTTTCAAAACTTTTTTAGTAAATAGGATGCCAAAACTGGAATTCCATGGTTTTCATTCAACAATTAATTACCATATGATGTTTTCCTACACATCTGACCAGTTAAATGTAAGCGGCTTGGTTCCTCTCCATTAACTTGTATGACAATTTAGATAATAATAATGATTATAAATTTTTTAGTATTTCAACGGTATATTACATGTACATACGGGTGTAATAATCTCGAAATTTATTGCCCTAAAACTCTTACCCTACATACCTACATGTACATAGCACTAATTTAACTTCTCAAAATTTGTTTTCAACCTGGGAGAATATTTTTCCTTTAATACATCATAAAATTCTTCTATACTTATTTTTATCAATTTTGTATTATTTCTAACAATAAGAGAGGTTAATTATTTCAAACATAAACATTCTTTAGAGGAAGGAAATTTGGTATTTAAGGCCGGTCAGACAATATTTTTTTAAATGCTATTTTAATTAATAACTTTTCTTTTTTTTCATGGATAACCTCAATGCATTTTATCATCAAAAGGCATTAAATTCATTATAGCAAACTAACTAAACTTTTAAGTACATGTTTCTAACTTTTAGTCATATTTATTGAAGCAAAATCTCCGAAATAACATAAAGAAAAAAAATAAAGAGAAAAATCATCGAATTATCGAATGATTTAATTTTTAAAAAGTTAACTTGATTATTTGAAGGACTTGTTCTTCTAAAGGCTTCGTGAAAACTTGGTCAGGCCCACTCGTAACTATTAGACCCCACTTTCTATGGTTAATACTCTGTCCAGAGACAAAACAATGCCTATTTCTCCTTTATTTAATTACAAAATTCTTTCATAGTTCACAATCTACCTATTTTTTATAACAAATGTGGAAGTTAGAAAACCTCTGTTTATATATTTCATGTATCATTACTGTCCTTTTTTCACTCAGTCGTCTTTGGACCAGTCCATTTCACATTTTTAGGAAAAAGAACAATGAATGGAGTCCTTATGGAAAAAACTACCATTTGCTAAACTTAATGACAGTACCTGACAAATTCTCTCACCTTCTAATATTCACGATTTTTCCATTTATTTATACAGAAAAGCAGTGTTCTCTACAATTGGCCTAATCTGAGCTTATCAACCAGTCTATGAAAGTCACATTGAAAAAACCGAAATTACCATTCTATTCGGTCTTTACAAATTCCCTTCTTTTAGCTTAAAATATTTGGATGATATAGATATAGATTAGGAAAATCACTTCTAAAAAGTCCATTTTGCAGACTCTCTTGTCCCAATAATGTTAGTGTTAAAGACATTACCATGGATGGACCCGGATACCACACAGTCTATTGGAGAGAGGGAAGAGAGGAGGAAGGAGGAGTGATACGGGAGTTGGAAAGACCTCTGCATATTTAATGCTTTTAATATACCACAAGTTTATTAATAAAAAAAAATCACATGTTTATGTGTTATAAAATATATTGGTTTTGCGATGGTTATATGTATTTTTTTTTTTTTTTTTTAGACATAATAATTAGTCTTAAACTACCAATAAGATCATTAATTATTTCAATTTAAACAAATTAAAGTAGATTTAGAAAAAAAAGATTTTGAAAATTCAGGTTTATTAAGTCCAGTCAGACCATTTTAATAGGAATAAGACATAGATGATATTAAACACCATTTAATTGTAAATAGAGAGATACAATAGAGTTTAGACAAAATTATTAAAATTATTTGAGAATATTGTAAAAATGCGTTAAATCAATGAAATAAAACATTTTTTAGTAAAAATATGAGTTTTGTACAACTTTTTTTTTCAATTTTGTAAACATACAATTAGGAAAAGGTAATAAAAAATATCAAAACTAAATATTTTTATTCAGAGATGACCGGATGGGAGCAAAAATGGAAAGATATCGTTGGGATGGAAAGTAAGTTTAAAAGTGGAAACACTAGTATAGGCCAGAGGTCTCCAAACTTTTTGGCTTGTGGGCCAAGTTTAGACCTTCACACACTAAGTTCTGCTGGCCGGAGATTGTGCCGAAAAAAAAAAAAGTTTGTTCTATAAATGACACTTCAATTGATATGAGATTTTTAAAAGAAACAACTCATGCAATAAATACTATATTAACACCATGTTTCAATGATTTAACAGATTTCACATTTTTAAATAGTTTTGAAAATTTTATCATGTAATCAAAGAAACTTTTGAGGGTCAGATTTGAATAGTTTGGAGAGCCCTGGTATAGGCTAAAGTTCATAAGGTAATCAAAGTTATGAGCTATACGCTAACTGCCCCCCACCACTTTTATCTAACACTTATTATTTTTGAAAAATTGCATCAGATAAATTAAAGACTTCTTGCATTTTATTGTTATAACCTAATAAAAATTGATAATTTATCATTTTCCATGTAAAAATTTGAAGTACCCAATTAAATAAAAATCATTTTATATTCTCATTATTTGAGAATATATACTAAATACATTCTGAGTTAGTTAAAGTTAACTCATAAAAACTTAACCTCAGATGGCAGTGTGAGAAGAATAGATTGCAAGTGCAGCGGCTCACCAATCCAAGATGTGAGAAGAGATAAAGAACTCCTCTACTTCCTTATAATTTTTTCTTTTTTGTTTATTAGCAAGTTTTCTACAATTGTTTTTAATGTTCTTTTTTGATGTTGACTTTGATGTAGACAAATCTCTGGTGGAGTTAAAAAATTATGGTTATATAAGGTATATAAATAAGAATTAAGTATGGTACCGAACTGGAGAGCTTGATTAGTGTAAATTTGGAAAAGGTACTGACCACAAAAAATATCAGTACAGCAAAGATAGACAGCTCAATTTTCATGAACCATGAGAACTAGCAAAAATATGATAATAACATGAAAAAGTAGACTCAAATTGTACTAGGAAGAAATTTCAGAATTAATCTACTAAGAAATAGTAGATAATAAGCCTCAAATTCCACTAATGGCCTACAAAAGGTTAGTTTTAGGAGTGGAAAACCACAGCCATCATATAACGGGGCAGAGCAGAAGAGGCAAGGGCAGGATATATATATATATATATATATATATATATATATATATATATATATATATATATATATAACCTTGCTGCTCCTATATAATAAGACATTGCAAGCAGAGTGGTCTAAGTGATTATTAGAATTACAAACTATTAATAACCTGCATAGTTATAAGCCCATTTTAGCCATTAACTTAGTAAAAAATGATGGATTGAACTTTAAAAACTGAAGATTTCAAAATGCAAACAGATTAGTAAACAATAACTCATTACTTATTTAAAAGTTGAACCAATAAAAGAATAACAGCGAAACAACTCCTTCCAAAAGTCATGTCTTAGCACATTGCCTTCTCTCTCCAAATCACTATAGTGTACTTGACTTAAAAAAAATATGGTGCAGTGCGCACATCACACAACTTTCACTTATCAACCTAAATTGAATTGAAAAACATGTTGTCATAAGTAGGCAAGTAAAAACTACAGGAGATATAACATATTCATTTGAAATAATTAACCAACATACAAAACATTGTGGCCCTGTTCAAAATACATTATTAAAGAAAACAGACAAGAGTTAAAAAATAATTGCTTGTTACTAGATAAAAAAAAAAAAATTACTAAGAAGTAAAAGCAAATTCTAGCAAAATAGGATTTTGTTTAAAATCTTAAACTCATAAAAACGAAAGTAAAAGCAGATGTTTTAGTCAAAATTAAAAGACCTAATATAAGTAGATATATAGCCCTGAAAATTATGTGTAAAAGAAACTAATTTTATCAATTAAACTAACAATAAAATAACTGTACACAGAGACGTGAGTAGTTTATGTGGAGGGGAATCGGGAAAAAGTCGGGCGCCCTTGGCTATTTCAGCTTTAACAGTTTCTAGTCCATGCATCTAACTCTTACTTTTCCATTAGTTAATAATAATATTGCACGGCTGCTCAACTAAGTTGAGTTGCTAAACCACACAGCAGCATACTCATCAATAAATCAATAATATTGAAAAAGATAGAATTTCTTCATAATTTGTTTTTATCTGCTTAGTATTAGTTGTTACAATGTGAAATGGTTAATTACTTTAAATAAATAAAATTAAAGGTAAGGGAAGGAGATTTTGTGAATTCGGTATTCAACCCCACTTATAAAACATTAATGAGACCTACCTTAAAAAAAAAAATCAATTTATAATAAAGTGATATAATGAATTAAATCAAAATTGTTAAAGCCGTTTTCGAGAAAAATGTGTAAAATCGATTATATAAAGTGCCAATTCCGGTTAGCCAAATTTTGACGAAAAAGTTGCTGTAACATACTAGGCATATAAAAACCTTAAATATGTAATACAAGTTTCGTGCGACTTTTTGTTTTTGAGCTAGACTGTTCACTCACACAATGACCATTATGTGGGACTTGATTATTTGGACTCAGGGGATCTTACAACCTAAATTTCGCTGAAAACTGAGATTTGAAAATTTTCACAATTGCAATACTTTCCTTTTCTATATATTTCATATATAGTAAAGGAAAGTAAAAATTTCACCTGATTTTTAAAATTATAAGTTAGTAAAAAATAAATATGATTTGCATAAAAGTTACTTAAGGTTCATAATATTTCTTTAAATTAATAAATTTCTAAAATTTGAACAATAGTTATTAAAAAAATTAACAAAAATTTTAAAAATAATCTTAGCAGAAAACAAGAATTATCTAACCTTGGGCCATAAAACAAATGCAATAAAGGGAAATAAAGGAAATCTAAAACCATTTCTCACAAATATTGGTTTGTTTAATAGATCCTAACACTAAGATAATTTAATTTAGTAATATTTACCTGTGGTGGATTTACGAGCAGATTGTGCAAGGCAGGAAGGTACGGTAAAATAGAAGATATAATTGATGGTAGAGCTGGGTTAGGTGTAGGAGGAGGCTCACCTGAACCACTGTCTTCAATGTTATTATAAGCTCCTCTCCTATTGAGCTGATCTGTACTGTAATACCAACATTGCATTTCAAATTATTGAGTAATTAAATGTAAATCATGAGTTAAATATGAAAAGGCTATTCACTTATCAACTTAATTTCATTTAACAGTAAATAAAATAAACCTGCTTCATTAATAATGAATTTATGACATTCATTACTTTCAGATGGTTTAATGATCCTATAAAATTGCAAACAAAGAATAAAAATTCTTTTCAGTCCAGCAAATTCTTGTGAAATTAACTAATTAATAAGTAAAATAGTTTTCTAAATTTGACTGCTTGGAATAACAATAAATCCACAAACATCATAAGGTTTAAATAAAAAATGATAAATACACAAGAAGAGAAAATTTAAAGAATTTAAATATATATATATATAAATCTGTACTACAACCAATGAAGGGTCTTGGGTTCAGTTCTATTTAAGGAAAGTACTGTTTCTTAATCAATGGTTGTGCAAGGAGGTAATTTGACTGATATCCCTCTCAACCACCAGGTTCCCCTCCTTAATTAAGGGTTCCCACTTTATAGAGGCTGGGTGTGCCCAAAGAAAGTATCCTGATCCCAGGGTCACCGCTTGGCTGATGAAACAGAATAAATAACTTTTCTGCCATGAGGCGGGATTCAAACCACTTTTAGCTGGGATTCCCACTATTTTTATGGATATATATATATATATATATATATATATATATATATATATATATAAGTATAAATAAAATAAAAATTTGAAAGGAATCAAAAATATTGAAAGGGAATAGTATTTCAATCGAAGAAGATCTTACTTTTCCACAAAGAAACTATTATCTCTACGAAAATGTATCAAGAAAGTGAACTTGAAAACTTTAGTTTCAGTCCAAAAGAATTAATTGTGGGTAAACAATAAAAAATTCATTTGGAAAAAAGTAAAAGGTTTAATGTTAGAACATGAAAATGGTATAAAAAAGTTAAAAGAAATCACTAATACTGACTTTTCAGAAACGATTAAGAATTTGTTAAAATGTTAAGAATATTTGGTATATCTTTTATTAATGTAATTACAAAATTAAAAATAAGGCTGGAATTTTATTGGGGCGTTTATGGAACTGGATGAACACAAACGACATATTAAATGATTTCCAAGTGGGATTTTCTCAGGGATACTCAACCATAGACCACATTTTCAATTTGTTTAGCATAGTTAAACTGACTCTAGCAAAAGAACGCCGTAAAGTCTATTCATTTTTATTAGATTTCAAAGCGGCTTATGAATGGACAGATAGAGATGCTCTATTTTAACAACATAAATTTTTAAATATCTTAATAAGTTTACATTCAAATACTAAAGCTACGATATTTCATAAAGGACTTACTGACTTTTTTTAAACATCAGTAGAATTAAGACAGGGTTGTCTGCTTAGTCCTTCACTAATTATATATGATTTATACGACAAACTGGAAGGAATCGAAATCGCTGGAGTAAATATTAAGTGCTTATTGTATGCAGAAGAGGTAGTATTATTAGCTCTCTTCCCAGTTACATTTCAGCAAATGATAAACCACCTGAAGAATTACTGCATGTGGAACCTACAAATAAATCTATCCAAATCAAATATAACAGTTTTCCACAATGGAGGCAGACTTATCCAAATTTGGGAGGTGGTATTTTGGAAGAAATCTAGTTGAGGTAGTAAATGAATAAATATCTAGGTCATTACCCCAAGATTGGTCTCAGGGCATCACTTTTCTGAAAGAGTAAGTCATGCAAAATTTGGTCTAAATTCAACTTGCTATAATTTCATAGCTAACAAAAATGTCCCCTAGTTAAATAAACAAGAAGTTTACTCTCTAGTTCCTCAGGCAGTGGTTAGTTATGCTGGACAGGTTTGTGGTTTTGAGCCCCACGAGGTTTTGGAAAAATTCAAAAGATATTTTGAATAAAAATTATCAAATTAAACTTGATATTCCAAATATTGCCGACCTGCACAAAAATTTGATCGCAGATAAACATACAGTAGAGGAATCAGAAAAACAAAGCAACCTCGAAAAATACAGCTTTATAGTACATATCTATAGTCCAGTTTTTCAATAAATGCATGTTTTGACACTGTATCATCCTATCTTAATGACAGATTTGATCTTGTATCGATAAGGTCGATTTTCCTATGCAGGAAGGAATTACTTAATTTAAGTGTTAAACCATGGGTAAAGGAGGGAAATGATAATTGTCCAGTTTGTAATTCGGAGAAAAATAAGACACCATTCACTTACTGGGGTCGTATCATGTCTACAGTGAGATTATGAAAAAATATTTTAGTCGGCAGACATGCTCGTTGGAGGAATTATTAAGTCTATTGAAAGGTGCTAATTGTATAAGTAATTATGCACGGCAAGCCACATTGCAAAGAGCCCAACTAGACAGTTTATTATTTACTATAGAACATACTTTACCTAGTTAAGTATATACCGTCATCAAGTTGTTTGTTGGTTAGGTTTTACAAAATTTTAATGTTTATTTAAAAAAAATATTGTTTTTTATTTTTAAGAGTTGATAACTGAGAAACAAATATTAAAATGTAATTAATAATAATGTTAAAAATGTTATTGCTTAGTTATTTTGTTAAGGATATAAAATAGAACATATTTTGTAAAAATATCACACAGACGGAATTTTTCATAGCCTATGTGTTGGCATAGCATTTATATGAATATTATATTTTGTATTTATTGGCTTTATGATAATAAACACATTTTCATGTAAAATAAATTAGTAAATTGTCAATTTGAAAATGAGCAACTTCTTTGATTAAAAATGACATAAAGATGAGGATTATATAAAATATAAACAAAAAGAAATTTCCATAGAGATGGGCCAAGAGCCTGAAAATGTTCTCAAATGAAAAATAAAAATAAAACTAATTATATAATAAATGGATGAGGTATCTTGAAAAAAATCGGGTGCAGTGTGTGCATCACACAACCTTTATACCATCCTACTTTGAGTAGAATTATCTAACAATAGATAATACAAATTAAAAATGGAATAAAAAATCCATTTAAAATAATTGATTATTATGTATTTTTCATCTGCCAAGTTTATGTGTTTTCCATTACTATCCACATCCTTATATAACCGTACATAGTAATTATTGATTTAATTACAATGGAGCTACATATTTTTTTTAGTCCAACAAGAGTTCACAATTTTTTTAGACCTATAAGGGTGCATGACAAAAAAAAAAAAAGTTTAAGACCTGCTGGTCTACACAATATAATATAGCATATTTGCATTATTTAAATAATGTTCACCATTCTCAAAACTTTTTTCATCTATTTATAAATATATGAATGTATAACTAAAATATAAGATAAATTGCAATAATACTGATAAAACAACTTACTTTGGAGGAGGTTCCAGTAATGTAAGAAGAACTGAAATTCCACCCACAATACTACTTTCAACATGTTCACCACTAAGCATTTTATCAAGCATTTTTTTAATCATTTCAGGTCTGTAACAAAAAAACAAAATGTTTTGAAGGAATCCAGCAAATAAAGTTAAAACCAAATAATAGCATTCAATATTTTAATGGCTAGGATTATAACTAGATTCCACTACCTATGGCAATAGAACTTCAAGTTAAGGACCAGTCAATTAATTGAACAATCTCAACTATAATCATAGTTTCTGATGTCAAAACACTATAACCTAGGAGAGTTATCATTAAGTTCCAAAATTCATATAATAAATTTGAGTATGCAGCTTCTTCAAATAGAAGAATGAAGATTACAATTGTAGTGGATAAAATGAGAAGAAAGTGAAACAAAAAATATAAGAACGAAATATATTAAAAAAAAAAAAGGTAAAGATACATAACTATATTGAAGAGGACACAACAGTCAGAAAGAAATGAATAAATGTTTGAATTAATAAGTTCAGCATTGTATATTATTCTCAAAGATGTTTTACTGACAGTATGTCATATCTCTTTAAACATGTTTATGGCAGTGTTTACCACTTATCAGGCGGTCCATAGCATAAAAAATTTAGATCCTTAAATAACTAGAAAAATGGCATATACTTGAAAATTAAAGGAATGAAAATTTTACATAAATTAATTCAAAACATTGATTTTTAATAACAATTATAGTTAATAACATATAGTAAATAAACTTTAATTCGATAACATAACCAAAATAATTCAATATTATGAATATAACTTAAATAAATTTTTGTTTGTTGGGGCCGAAAAACATATTTGTTTAACCTATGGACCTGAACCCCATCTGATCAAGCAAAATGCTGGCTGGCATGAATGTGTTAATAATTAATAAAAGAACAATGATTAAACCATCATTTTGAAGATTAAATTCAACACTAAAAAAAATCAAGCTTTTATTCGTACATAAAAATTAAATTATTTTTTAAAAAACCATTAAAGTTGGATCATTATTATCACAGAAACAATTTACCAAAATTTGTGAAAACCTATTTTGGTTTACTATTTATGATAATCAACCTTTATATTTGACCAAGGAAATTGTTTTTAAAGCTTCCCAAACTTTGAGGTTTCATGTTTTTAGATAGATAGAACCCAAAAATTGAACAAGACATTCAGGGCTACAAACAAAGTGTAACTGAATTAATATAAATTATTCTTATTACAACTTTGTATAGCATATTTTTATTAATTAATTCACAATGCTCAATAAGACAGATATTTTTTAATTCTTTTCAAACTAAAATATCTGTTTCTAACAAATATTTATTTCGAAATTGACTCGAAATTATTCGGTGACAAAATTACTAAACTAATATATTCTGTTTGTGTAATTTCAAAATTATTACAAAAATTTTAAAATGTAATAGAAAATAAAAAATAAAAAACTATGGTTCAGTATAAAAAATAATAAATAGGTTACTGACGATTGAATTTTTGAGAGTATTGGACCAAGATCATTTCTTTCATTTATTTCTCGACATTTTCTAATTGTATCACAGAGAAGTTGGGCTGCATTATAGTGTCTTCCTTCATCTACATTAGGATCAAACAATTCAATAATGTTTTCAATAAGTTCCTCACTTTCAAGCCACTGAAAATTTAAAATCATCAAACTAGTAAAAATTATGAAATGTACCATAAGAATTATGATATATAAGAGTGTTGCAAAGGTATGTTACTTAATTTATAATCCATAGTACTCACACTAATTAAGTTTTGCTGCATTTCATTTCCTTCTATTTGTGTGATAAGTTTAAATGTAAAATCCATAACTGCGGATGTATCTAAATGTTTAAGCAACAGATTAAGACTATTTTCTTTTGTCTTCAAGAAATCCAGCACTTGAAGACATGTAAACTGATATGAATACCAATGCTAAAAAAAATAAAATATGATTCCAAAATAATAATTTGATCATTCAAATAAGAATACTAATCTAAGTAAACATCAATACAACAATCATTATAAAGGAAGGAGATAGTCCGGGGTGGAGCTCATAAATAGGCTAAATAGTGGCAAAACAATTTTATTAAAAGCCATCCGTTTTGACCCTACTTTGCAGGTCTTCTTGAGGGCTAGACCGGACCTAGCCCTCAAGAAGACCAGCAAAGTCGGGTCAATACGTAGCTTTTAATAAAATAGTTTTGCCACTGTTTAGCCTATTTATGAACGTCACCCCGGACCATCTCCTTCCTTTATAATGCAACGGTCAACTATTTAATATTCAAAACAATCATTATAAAAAAAGCAATATACAGTTTTTTATTTTATAATTTTAATGCTTACAAAATAGCAAAATAATGTAATAAAAGTTTTTTAACTGAGCCAATGTTCTTATAAAAAGTACTGCCACAAGATGGCGTCTAAACATGGCGTACTGATGACTTTGACTTTAGTTAATTTTTTGGTCACTGAGAATCAGCATTTGGTTTAAATTCCTCTAAGTTGGTCTTTTATTAAAGCTGGATAATCAGAGAATAATTAAACTTGAAAAAATAATTGGCTCAGGCAATAAAAAGCACTAGTAACATCAATTTTTTAAACAAAAAAATTATGAAATTGAAAATCAAGGTCAGCCGTATAATCAACACTGGTCCTGTTGTCCCAGATTATGGCACTTCCTATCTCATTCGCTTAATGTATTTTTCCAATTTTTGAGTTCAATTTCGTGTTTTCCCTCATTTCTCATTTTGAGACCCAATACTAACAATCAGTTTCGGTTACCTAGAAGAACTTATAGTTTCGTCCTTGCCATCTTTCTTTGTGCAGAGAGAATAATGCATTCAATATTAAAATTTCCTATTTTTTTATAATATGGTTCAACTTCCGAACAAAATAAAATAAATAAAAACTAATTATTTTTATTATTGATATATGAGTTTTACTCAACTGTTAAAGAACCCGGCAACTATTAATTATAGATATATATTATTTTAGTTTATAAAACAGGTATTAATATGACTCATTTCTGGGGAAGTATACAATTTAAATTACTTCTAAGAATCAGTAAATACACAAAACAAAGTGTTAAATTGCAAACGTTAAATAAAAAATTAAAAGTATTTTTGCATTAAGTTTTAATATAATAATTATATCATTTTTACAATAGAAGCCTTCTTAAACGACCTCTGTATAGAATAAAGGAAGTTGAATGTTGAAAAAATTAAATAAATTTAAAAAAATTGTTTAATTTTTTTGGACAGTTAAATTATTACATTAATATTTGTTCGTTAATACAGTCAATAAAATGTACCAAAAACATTATTATCGAAATGTATAACATTGTAAATTCCAACTCGGTAAAGAAATAAAGTTTTCATTATAATATGGACAATTTATAATTATGCATGTACATATATTATTTTGAATGAAAATTCAATATCTGAAATCAATTGGTCTGGTACCTTACCTTTAACCTTTCAAGTTACTCTACATTACTTCATTCTTTGTATATGCCAGTGAATTAACCAATTTAAAGGAAATTTAAACAGATATATTTCTTTATTTGTAAGTTAATTACTGAGACCTTTTTATATTTGTTTTGTGAATTATCTTTAAATTATCTGCTATTTATGTTAGTCCTTATTTTTTATTTAATTTCTCTTTCTTCAAGATTTATGTTAATCATAATTTATTGTTGTATTACATGATGTATTGTTGCCGTTAGTTGATTGTAATATAGATTTTAATTATTTTTTTTTGTGACAATATTTTAATTCAGAAGCTTAACATAAGGTTTGATGGGATTTCGATGTATTAATATTATAAATTAAACAAAATAGATTATTTTTGCACATTTTTAGGTGTAAATTAGACAATTTTACATATTTTGTGTTTTTACTGTACGATTGTGCACATCTTGGGTTTTTTGCTGCACATTTTTTTGATTTTTATTGAACGAAGTTATCACTAAAGTTGCGATATGTTCCCACTAGGATACAGTGCAGTTTTGTTTATTATTAATTGCTAGATAGAAATCCAACAGCCATAATTAAAGAAATCCCGATAGAAGATTTTATATATCATATAAAAAAAAAATTGCGGGTAATGTGGCAGAACGTATGGCAACAAAAAGAAACCAAACTAAAAGGAATAAAAAGCCACTGTTCCAAATGGAAAACTAGCAACCGACTCTCCAAAAAAGAAGAGATAGTCCTCTGCCGCTTACGAATTGGGGATTGTGAATTTTCACATGCCTACTTACTAAGAGGACTAGACCCACCGACTTGCGAGAGCTGTAAGGTGCAAAGAACTGTCCAACACATCATTTAAGACTGCCCAGGAAAAAACCTTACAATTTTTAAAAATAATAAAGTTCTGCAATAGAATATAAATAGGAAGTGTTGCCAATGACCCTGCAGGGTAGAGGCAACAATAAAAATAAATAAAGAAATAATTGCTTCGGCTTTTAATAAAATAATTTTACCACTATTTAGCCTATTTATGACCGCCACCCCGGCCCATCTCCTTCCTTTATAATGCAATGGTAAACTATCAAATATTCAATATTAATCGCTTTGTTTAAAAAAAGATTGATAGCAGAAATTTTCATCTGGTTCAACATTGATAATGTAAAATGTAAGCTTTTATTCCTCTACATTGCAGAGGAATTCAGTCTGATCAACTTGAGAAAATGGAACACAAGACAACTATTTTAAAATGCTGATCTGACAACTAATAGAAGTTATAAGATACAAAAGGTGATAAATTTGTTACTTGAAATGAGTATATTAAATTATTTATTAGTAAGCAAAAAATAAATTTTCCTAGAGTTGAGTTGTGTAAACAATAAATAATAAAATATTAAATAAAAACCTTCCTTTTACCTACTTGGTCATAAACGTGTTTAAAATCAGTGTTTATCAAATACCTGTAATGAGAGTAAATATTTTTTACTCAAACAAAAAACAACCAGATCGAAATGAGAAGTATGACAAACTTCAAAATATGAAAGTGTTAAACATTCACGGAATAAAACTAATAATAATATTTCAACTAATCAATAAAGTGAGGTAAATTTATGAACTCATAATAAAAATGTTTCTGAAGGAACAAAAATTATAAAAATAATTTCTTAAAAGACATACCTGATCTGCTTTTCTGCATATCAACATACTTAATGTTCGACTGAAGAAAGAGGCTAAAAGTGGATTCAAAGGAGGTTCTCTCTCTAAGAAGGAATATAACTTAGTTAGTAAAGCTTTATCAGATAGCCTCTCATTTAATATAGGAATATCAGTAGTCAAAACTTCACAGGCAAGATTAGGACGTCTATACTTTTCGTGTTCTTCAAGTTCCTCACTAGGTTCTTCAGTAACAAAACCTACTAACTGATTCAATATATCAGCTCTTGTAACGCTGAAAAATAAAACAATAAAATTCATAATTCATAAAAACTATTAATTTAGAAAAATGAATATCTCATTTATAATTGCTTATTAAAGAGCTTTATATTTTGTGCATAGTCATTTTATTAATATCCACTAAAAAGTCCCCTGTTGGGAGTTTATTTATTTCTTGAACCAGTGGACATTGAGAACTGTTATCTCTCTAAAGCTATAAATATTAAAACAAATCTGAAATAATGGCCAAAATACTAATTACAATATAAGAACTGATAAATGTACAAGTAAAAAGTGAAGTTTAGAGATGTACAGAATATATATTGTTCGTCTAAGATATTCTCCTGGATATCTGGATAGAGGAGGGACTCTCAAAGGAGTCGAAAAATACATTCATTTGTCCAATAGACAAAAAGGCTAATACCTTGTTTTGCATTGGCGAAAGCGAAATAAGTAAGTATCAATGTAGCTTTTGCAGGAGTCGATCAACTATGGGCCAGATATTTAGCCTCCAAATCCTTTTTTTAAAAAAAGAAAGAACACAGACTGCCTACACATCACATATTTATTGATTTTAAACAAGCTTATGACTTCATCAATCAATCAGAAACATATAAAGCAACGATTGAAATGAGTCTTTAATCTAAGCTGAATAAGGATAAAAAGGTAAGGTAATGCTCCAATTGTAATAATTTTTGTAAGGATGTCTGCGGAATTCTCTTTAGACATAGACGGAGTATGACAAAGAGAAGGGCTACCATGTTTGGTTTTTATTCTGGGACTCGATAAGGCCATCTGAGATACTAAGATCCAGACATCTGGTACATTAATAAATCATCTCGTGCAACTTCTCGGATAACGACATTGATAACACAGGAAGGTCATTAGAGGCTGTTAAGGATGCATATAGAGCATTGAAGAATGCTGTAGCTCAAATGGAACTTTTCAGTCTAATCATCAAAGAAATCTGCCACCTGTCCGTTAAATCTGTTAGTAACAATTTCTATCAACAAGTCATCACTTTTCACCAAGAAATTCCTTAAGTTTTGGAAAAAGATGAAAGTTTGATGATACAAACTCAGGGTTGGTCCAATACTTCCCAATGAAAGTTGTCCAGTTTTGTCCAGTAGTAAAGGTTGAAGCAAACAAATTGATAAACTACTGATCTTGAAACTTGTGAGAATTTCTGATGGAGCTTATCAATAGTAAATAGTGCCTGTTTTGGGGAATTTCCTCATTAATTTTCTGTGTCCAAGTCTTTAATCATGATAGTAGGCTGCCTGTTCTTCATCATGAACATTTAATTTTCTTTTTCTTCCTTCATTAAATAGCCTATACCATTTATAAACATTTCCATCAATCATTATACCTTCACCATAAACTTCAACATGCTGCCTGTGAATTACAGTAGGACAAACTTTTATCACATTTAAACAGTGAATAACAGAGCACAATCGGAATAGCACTTCACAATCAGTGGGATCATTGATTAATATGATAAAAAACAAATCAGTATGATCACACATTCATCACTGAAAGAAATGTGAAATGCAACAGGACTGGACAAGAGTGGCTAACCTTGAATGGGTGTCATAGGATAGCCTAGGTGGATGTGATGCACAATCAGTTGTTATTTAAAAAAATGACCGCTGTACATATACTTCTCCAATAATGTATGTATACATACACACACACACACTCACGCACGCGCATACACACACATATATTTTTTTAAAATTTATTAAGCACAGTAAACTTACAACTCAATTAATTTTTTGTTCTGAGATTTCAATTCTTGTAATACGTTTTCCTGATCCAATACTTCATTCAAGGTAGTATCCTAAAACAAATAATTCAGATTAATGAAATGATAAGAAATTGTCAATAAAAATCATAATTGTGTAAAATGATAATTATATAATTTGATCTAGGAGAGAAAATATAGATAAAAATGTTTAGTTGGTAACCTAAGGCCATAAGGATCAATTTTTATAAATGAACATGTGTGAAAAGCACTGGTACAATATCACTTTAGATGATCATTTTTAAATATTACTTTTTTTAAAAATAAAAACCAATAATTAGTTTATTACAATACATTCCAGGTCAAAGAAAAAATAAATAAAAGCATTGCCATAATTTATTATAATTATTTTTGTAGAAAATACTTATACTTTAAGGAAATAACATATTTGTTTTTACTAACTGGAGGTGAATATCAGCTTATAAGAAAGAAAACAACATGATTTAGTGAAAAATTGATTTTGAATTTTGTAGAGTTTCGTTATTTGTTGAATAGGAAGTGATTAAGTAAATAATCTTTTCATAACAAAATTTTAATCTAGTTTATCTTTAAAAATATTTGTTTTATATAAGTTGATGAACGATTTTAAATCCTTCGACAAAGATTTGGACCAGGAAAGTTTGGAGAGCACTGGAGGCGGAGGACAAATAGGGAAATTTATGAACTTTATGGCGAGGCAGACATGAAGTTTATCAGGTTGGGAAAACTACTGGATAGGAGGCTCCACCAGAAGAGAGGAACCACGGCTCAGATGGGAGGACATTGTTGCCAGGGATGCCTGCAACCTATAGGACGAGCGACGGCATAAAATAGACCCAACTGGCGAAGACTTGTCAAGGAGGCAAAGGACCATATCAGTCTGTAGCACCAAGGAGTGTGTAGTATGTATTATGAACGATTCAAGCTTTTATATTATCTACGGGATATGTAACATTACCAGCAGCATGTAATCTATGTAAATAAAATAAAAGGTTTTGTCTGTACATTGAATAGAATCAACCCGTTTCATACATTACAGACACCAAATCCACTTTTGTTAAAACTAGAGTGATCGCGCAGGATCCATTGGACCCCAGGAGATATGTTTTGTTCTGTCAAATATTTCTGATTGAACATGTACTTCTCCCACTCCTCGTACCTTCCTATCCTCGGCAAACCTTTACATATCAGTATTCCGTCTGACATTGATTCGTGCAAGTTTTGAGATATTGAGTTCTTGGGGCCAATTGGACCCCACGCAACAGGATTTGACTATAAATTTCTAAGTAATTTTTTTTTTTTGTTCACCTAAAATTGTATTTATCTTTCAAGAACAGATTTAAGTTTTTTTTTCTCATTTAAAGAATGAGTCAAAATATTGTTATTAATAATTTGTGGCTTTCAAGTGACTTGGAAAGTCAACAAATTGCAAACATGTTGCAAGTTAATGATTTATATGGACAGGCAAAAATATTAGGTGGTGACAGTGATGAGGAAACCAAACGTCATGCTGAAACAAGGGAAGTGGACTCAGATACAGAAGAAAGAGGCCAGTTGTCTGAAGATGAAGATGAAATGCCTCTGACACAAAGGTTAGATCTTCTTGGCAGAGGTAAGTTCTACAAATGGTCTTTGAAAGAACCTAAAAAGAATATCAGAACATGGAGTCATAATCTTTTAGTACACCTAACCTGCACAAATCAGCCATTCACTAACAAAAAAACAGCTTTTGAAACCTTTTTTTTTTTTCTGATGTAATGTCAGAAGAAATAGTAAAATTTACGAATCAGGATTAAGAGAGTCCAAGTAAATTATCAGAGAGACAGGGACGCAACTGAAACCAATATCTTTAAAGTAAATGCTAGTATTGGTTTAGTATTTTTGGCAGGTGTTCTGAAATCTTCTCATACTAACACCACTGAACTATGGGGTAAACATGTTAGTGATATATTCAAGTGTACCATGTCTCAATGAAGATTCCTTTATATTCTACACTGTATGCAATTTGATAGTAAGGTAGACCGTGAAGGGAGAAAAAAAAATATAAGTTAGTAACAATAGGAGATATTTTTGAGGAATTCAATAACAATTGTAAAAAAAATATACTATATCTGAATATGCCACCATTGATGAGCAGTTATGGGCATTTAGAGGTCGATGTGGTTTTAGACAGTTTCTAAAATGGCTAAGTATGGCATAAAAGTGAATACTCTAGCAGATTCAAAATCTTATTGAAAAATACGGAGATTTACTGTGGACAACAACCCGATGGTCCTTTTATGTTATCAAACAGTTCTTTTGAATTAGTAAAAAGACTTGTTGAACCTATAGTGAATACCGGATGTATTATTACTAGGTTTACTGGAGTTCCGTTGATGGAGTTTCCTTTTAAAGCAATGTAAATTAACTGCAGAAGGAACACCAAGAAAAAATGTAACATTACATAACATGAAAAGGATATGTAACATTACCAGCAGCATGTAAATAAAATAAAAGGTTTTGTCTGTACATTGAATAGAATCAACCCGTTTCATACATTACAGATACCAAATCCACTTTTGTTAAAACTAGAGTGATCGCGCAGGGTCCATTGGACCCCAGGAGATATGTTTTGTTCTGTCAAATATTCCTGATTGAACATGTACTTCTCCCACTCCTCATACCTTCCTATCCTCGGCAAACAGAAATTTCCCCATCATTCATACAAACTAATAACAAAACCCAATATTTCAGTCAATTCGCTTTTAGCAATTCTGGACTCACTCTACTTTCTTATGTACCTAATAAAGGAAAGGTTGTTCTTTTAATCTTAACACTTCATAACCGAAAAGAAATAAATTCAGAAAACAGTGACCAGATGAAGCCAGAAATAGTTATTTTCTACAATCATGCTAGTGGCGGGGTAGACATAGAGGACCAGTTGTCATCAAATTATTCTGTGGCAAGGAAAAACAATCAGTGGCCTCTAACTGTTTTTTTTTAAACCTTCTAAATATTGCTGGTATTTATGCTTAAGTAATTTACTTTTCTAACACTCAGAAAAAAATGTTGAAGGGGCTTTTACAGTGCTAACTGAGCAAAACCCTCACTGAGCTGCACCTCTCTTCCCAGAGAACTTCCTTCTAGAATTACCATATACCTTGAGTTATAAAAGCAAAGATGCGAAAATTTGCTGTAGAAAATTGGACAAGAAGACGAGAACTCACTGCTCGAAGTGCAAAAAGTTTACCTGTGAAAATCATGGGAATTTTTTCGTCAATGTCTGTGTAAAAATATGATTTTTTTATTTTCAATGTAACCTCCTTCCACAATATAGCCAGTTTTTTTAGAAATATCTTTATTTACAGTAAATATTTAATGGAAATAAATCGGAATATTTTTTTTCAGCTCCAGGTACTTCTTCAATATAATTTTTCTATAATAAAATATATGTAAAGAATCAACTACTATTTTTTTTAAAACTCATTAACAGCTCAAATAAGTATTAACTACGATAGAAATAAAATAAATATTTTCAGAAAGTGAAAAAAAAAGAAGAAAATTGGGGTCCATCAGACTCCTGCGACCGGTTAAGGTTCATCAAAAGTGCGCGACCACTCTAGGCTTAATCTATCAGATCATTTCAATTCATTGATTAAAACTATCAAAGGAGTTCAGCATATTTCTTTATTTGTTGATTCAATCATAGATGGCTTAATGGTTCCACCAGCTTTGGGGTTGATGAATAAGCTGGATATAACCTTTGTGTTATTATTACTCAATTTCCTTAACATAGTTATAATCAGTTTACTTCTGATCAATATCTATTCTGTTTACAATTTAACAATTCGGTAGGTAGGTATTTCCTTCTTTTTATTCATTTATATTTTTTATATATTATGTAATCTTCTGTAATTAGATTGTGCTATATACCATAGGTTTTTGATTCCAGAGATCAAATTTTCTCAGACCATCTGGATGATAATCATTAAATTCGTGGATGCATATGATATGGTCATAAGGAAAGAGCTATACAAAGGAATGGCTGAGATACGAATTTCTTCCAAATTGATTAGACTGAGAAGGTGGAAAATATTAAATATCAAGTGTAAAATGAAGAGTGGTATAAGTATCTCTGCTTTAGATGCTGGGATTAGGCTCAGCCAGGAAGATCCTCTAGCCCTCCTCCTTTTTAACATAGCATTCCATGTTGTCATAAACAGAGCTGAACAAGATAGGGGTGGGACAATATTTAATAAAAATACACAGCTTCTTGCTTATGTGAATGAGATAGAAGTGGTTTGGTAATTTAATGAGAATGGACAAAAATAGGATGTTAAAAAGACCTTATGACAGTTCACAAGATAGAAAGAGAAGTAAAATGAGAACCAAGAGAGAGTGTACTCCAAGACATATGGCAGTTAAAGATGAAAAAAGTCCAAGTAATGTATAAAAAGAAGTGGAAGGCAGAAGTTGAAAAAGCCAAGGGCTGCTATACGCTCTTGTTGAGCTAAGTAAAACAAACAAGTAATCTTCCAGGAGCATTAAACTTCTACTGGAATACAACAGGTGATTTATTAACTCAGCATTAATCGCTATCCATCGGTGCTAGAATGTATCAATTGATGAAATTGGTGTAGAGTTCAAGAACTAACGCATAATTTATGTATAATAGATTTATTGTGAAAAGACTTTTAGTAACATTTGAGGAAATTAAATCAGTAAGTAATTTGATGAATTCCCCACTGTGAAATCAGAAAATTGTGCACTTAAAATTAATGTGACTGCTTCTGAGATATAAGTTATGTGTTATTTTGAGTTTTTCCATTGATATATAGAAACAGAATTGATAAATTTGTCAGTATAAGATCAGCTCTATTATAAAAACATTTCAACAACAATATGAAATAAATTTTGGGCAGAAAATGATTTATATTTGAAGTGAAGAGCAAAGTGTAATTTGTGATGAACATATCATATAATGTACACTTTTATTGGAAGTGGGTAAAACATGTTTAATAAATTAATGTTCAACAGTCAAAAAACAATCTAATCTAGTTCTACTAGTTCAGGGAAAACAAAATAACTGCTCTGTAGTTTTCCCAAAAAATAAAATCCCAAAGAGGAGAGGGACAAAGGGACAAAGGTTTTTGTGTCACAAAGGTTAGAAGAAAGTATCACCATTTTGGAAGATGTGTTTGCCAGAACATAGGAAAATGTTAGAAGACAAATAAATTTAATGCGATAAAGGAAGAAACAGTATATAAAGAAAAAAGGTTAGCTTGTCAATTCATACTTGACTTTATTTTAAAATCAAACAGTGTTTAGTATAGTTAATTTTAGTTTGTCTGAGTGTTTTGATCTGAATGTCAGTAACCGATACCTGAGATAAAATAATTATAAAGTTTATTATTATTATTATAATGAAGCTACGGTCCTGCAAGAATCCGGGTCTCCTCTATTATAGCCAACCAATATCCACGGTCTTGTGCTACTTCCCTCTATCATAGAAAGAGCCACCCGAGTCGTCCCAGCCACCTGAGATCGTTTTCGACATCCTCCAACCATCTGATCCGAGGGTGCCCTCTACTTCTTTTGCCATTCGGCTTCTCATGCAGCATCACCTTTGGCATTCTTTCCACATGACTTACCATCTGATTCTGGCTCTTTTTATCAATGCCACAATTTCAGGTTCACCATAGAGTCCCCGCAGCTCCTCATTCTTTCTTCTACTCCAAATTTCATTCTCAAAGATTCTGCCCCATATTCTTCTCAAAGGAGTTGAGCGTGCGTTCTGAGTTTTTGGTTAAGATCCAAGTCCCACCCCCATACATAACCACTAGCTTTACTATGGTTTCGTATACGAGAATTTTGTTTCTTTTAGAGAGTGATCTGAACTTCAAGTCTCTTTGCAGTGAGAAATAGCATCTAGTTCCTGCTGCAATCCTGGCGTTTATTTCACTCTCTATTTAATTATTGCATGTGACCAGGCTTCCAAAGTACTTGAACTGGCCAACAGAACTAAATTTGTAATCCCTGAAAGCTATTTCTGTACTCATTTCCTTTTCCATTTTTTTAATTTTTCTTATACATCGTCTTATTTCCATTAACTCTAAAGACCAGTTTAGCCACTGCTTATTCCAATTCCTGGAAAGTTCCTGATAATGCTGTTTGGATTTTAGGGATAATGGCAACATCATCAGTATATGCCAGATGTTGAGACATACGATTGTAGATTGTACCTCCTGGATTTGTTCGAACAGAACAAATAGCCACTTCCAGGATACGATTAAAAAGAAGGGGAGATAGAGGATCACCCTGTCTCAATCTACCTCAAATTCTTCAGACAGCGAATTTGCAAGTTTCACTTGACAGGCAGTCTTCATTAGCGTCATTTTTTAAGTCTGACCAGTTTCTAGGGTATGCCTGCATCTACCATATATTTTTAAAAGTTCCTTTCTGTCTACACTGTTTGAAGTCCACAAAGAGAATGTGCAAGTCTACGTTAAATTAATAACATTTTTCCATTATCTGTCTCAGTCTTTTAAGTAGGAGTACTGCCAATATCTTATAGATTGTACTTAATAGAGCAATGCCTCTATAATTTTCACATACAAGCTTGTCTCTTTCCTTGTATATTGCTGCTCTTGTCCAATCTTCAGGCATTTTTTCTTCCATCCACATCTCCCAAATTAAGTCATTAAGCATAGTTTAATAAATTAATATTCTTATAAAAAAAAAAATGTAATATCTCTCTTATATTTTACAAATAATAATAATTACCTCAGAAGACCACTTTATACCATTAGGATACTTCCAAAACAAGTAAGAGATTGTTATACTAATAAACAAAATTATAAGAGTATTAATAAATTTATTTATCTCAGGTATGGTCACTGAAAATCAGATCAAAACACTCAGACAAACTAAAATTAAATATACTCAACACTGTTTGATTTTAAAATAAAGTCAAGCATGAATTGACAAGCTAACTTTTTTTCTATATATACTGTTTCTTCCTTTGTCGAACTAAATTCATTTGTCTTGTAACATTTTCCTATGTTCTGGAAAACAAATCCTCAAAATGGTGACACTTTCTTCTACTCAACTTAAGCCTCCTGTGAGGTCCTCTCTCTTGTAATTCCAAACAACTCTTCTCTCTGCCTAATAACAACTTCCAAGATGGTAATACTATTACTGGGCTTCACCCACTGGAGCCACGATCCCTTCCATCCTCTCTTCACCCCAGTCAAACACCAACAACTGCTTGCCAAAACAAAATCCTTTGTCCCATTCTCTCTTTGGAATTTTCCTTTTTGGGAACAGCCAAAATTCAAACCTGCAGAGCAGTTATTTTCTTTTCCCTGAACTAGTAGAACTAGATTAGCTTGTCTTTTAACTGTTGAACAATAATTTATTGAACTCTTTTTACTCACTTTCAATAAACGTGTACATTACAATATATATATATATATATATATATGGGAAGGAATAACAGTAAAAAACCAAGGTACCAATCTGTATTGGAACTAATTTTGATTGTCTAAAGACAAAGAAGTTGAGTACTGCTTCACATTCTTTTACTTTTACTTATTTCCTTGTATAAACTAGTTGAAATATGTAAGTTACCCCGAATAATCAACTTCTGGGCTAATTTTTTTCCCTCTAACTACCACAAAAAAAAAAACATTACCATCTCTGAGTAAAGTACCAAATTGAAATTTGGGTACTTTGACTTTTGGTATTTCCCATTTTTGACAAAATAAATTCACTATGACATGTCTCGACATAAAAGATAAATTCATAATAGTAAATATAAATAAATTACCGAAAACAATTTAAGACCTTTACAGTAAATCTTTAAAAACCTTTTTTTCTTCTTCTTTTTGGAATAATTATAGAGAAAAATAAGTAATATTTCTTCCAAATATGAAATATAACGATATGGTAGAGGGCTTAGAGAAAGAAAATGCAAATACTTATAAATCTTGTCCCTAGTTATTATTAATTACTTTATCATCATAATTATCATTAAGCCAACAAAAATTAATTCTATTTATAAATGGTAATCATTGTAATCATTTATAAGTTAATTAATTTGTTTCTTAACATCTTAGGTAGTATAAAAACTATATAGAACATAGATAATTTACATGATATGATAATGAGAACAATAGTAGAACATTTAAAATCGAAAACAACATAAACCTCCAATAGATAAAATTTGCAGAAAAATGAACTTACCTCCTTGAACAGAACTGTATCAATCTGAGGAGATGTTTGATTATACTTCCAAAACATTTTTTATTATTTACCCTGAAATACACCATAAATGAAAACATCTTTAGTTACTAGCTTATAACTAAGAACATCATAGGTTAAATTTAATGAAAACAATTTAAAACATTCTGCCTCGGGAGATAGATATGTGGTCTCTGAAAATATTATGTATATCTAGATCTATTATAGCATTTATGAATTGAATCCTAAAACATAAGTCCCTTAAATTTAAACAGAGGACTGGTAATCATTTGTAGTTATACTTAAATAATATATAGGAGATACTAAAACATTACAGAATAGAAGGATTGATTGTAACACTTGAACAATTATTAAGTAACATAAATTGGTTAAAAACAACAAAAATGTTCTTAACTCATAACAATTTTAAGCACAAGGATATAATAAAGGATATTAAACAATAAATTTCTAAGTAAGACAAAACGTAGAAAAGAAAATTTAACTTACAATTACCTGCAAGACATTACAATTTGAACATCTTGATCACAGAAATTACTTAACTTCTAAACATAACTGGAATTCACTAATTTATTATTATGTATTAATTTCTAAAATATATAAGCTTCTCATTTCAACTACAAATAAGGTTTATTCCCCCCAAAAAAGGTTATGCTAGGAAAATAAAAAATGTCCAAAAACATGAAGCATTGAAAATTATACTAAATTATAAAAATTATTGTGTAGAAAATATATGATAAACCTCGAAACTCATGTGCTGCCCTCCCAGGAATTGAATCCAACTAAAGAAATTAAAAAAAAGTCACCTGATAAATGTTTATCATATGTTATGTGTTTAATATCCTTATATATTTTTTTTATTTTTTGATCTTTCAGCTTAAGAAAGTATTTTAAATTTTTATTTTAAAACAGTGAATACATTTTATTTTTAGATTTATTTGTATTGCTGTATAAAATCTGAATTTGATCACCTTTTGACTGACTTGCCTTGCGGTTCATGTCTAGAATGTGACATGGCGTCTGGGATGAAAGTTTGTCATTAAATACCTTTTATGTTGTTGTTTCCATGAATTTTCTTTTACGGGAGGGCTTTTATTGAAGCCACTCACATTTTCAAGAGACCTGCATTAATGGTAATGCATGCAAGGAAAACTCAACGGATCGGCGATGGGTAGATATACTTAATTCATATATAGTTTGCTTGGTACAACCTCTTATCGCCATATTCAGAAAAAATCGTATTGATGTCTTTTAATTTTTAAATAATCTTATTGACTTTTTGTTTTCAGGTATTTCGAGAAACACCAGACCCATCCGTACCAGGTAATGACTTACAGTAATTCAAGCTTGTTTATATGATGCTTCAAAATAATGGTTAGGGCCTACCTACTTGAGACATAGGCTTCTCTCGCCGAATTAACCGCCTCGCATTTTTACCAAAATCTGATTTTACTGCTTACAAGTGGTTAATTGATTGTTGAAGTTTAAATTTAAGTTGGTCTTGAACCAATTTTGGCTTTTAAACTAGTCTTAATATCATGTTTTAGTTAGCCAGTTTATGTTATTGTTTTTTTTTCATACTGTTGTATATTTGATTGTATACCCTATATCATATCACTTTCACCCCCAAAAATAGAAGTTTTAGTGTTCATTAATAATAATAATTTTAATAATGAATGGTGTTTTTTATAAAGTATTACAAAAGTTAGTTGTGTTGTTTTTCAGTTAGAAATATGTTGTAGTTCAGTACTATATCGTTAAGTTGTTTCTTTACCCTTCTATTGGTAATATTGTCTAATTGTTTATGTTTAATTTGTATTATCTTTTTGTTTTTTCGGCAGAATTCAAAATATAATTCCAAAGGTAGCTATGAGCGGGACAGAATGCGAGAAAGGGATTCTCCCAATGGGAATTCTTATAGATCAGAAAGTCCAGAATGTGATAGCCCGAGAGATAGAGGATCATCATATCATAGTAAATCATTGTATGTGTCTAAAAGCCGTGAAAAGGAGAGGGAGAACAGAGACTATAAAAATAGGGATAAATACTCAGGTATAAGGTTTTTTTTTGTTCTTGTTTACTTAGCCATGTATTTTGTTAAGATTATTGTTTACCTGTTTTCTTAAGGAAGTAACATGAGATAAATTCATTCACTGCTACTACAATCAATTTAATCAAAAGATAGTAAAAATTGATCAAAGTGGCCTAAATTGGCGAGTTTTTTTTATATTTTAAATTCTATTGACCTATTGTTATTTTTTGTATCATTTTTTCTACTTTTGATTTTCGGTTAATCTTTAAGGAAAATACACAGTAAAATCTGAATCATATACTGCTACGTAGACCACGACCACTTAACAAAAAATTTTAAATGGTACTGAATCATCAGTTGACTCCTATTGTTTACATAATAAACAGTTATAACCTTAATAGAGAAAATGGTTATTAATAATGTTTATTGGTCAGTTCATAATTTAAATGATCTTAATTTGTTCTTGAAATAATCTCTAGTAGTTTCTCTCTAATTATAATTATTTTGAATTTTAAATTATAAAGCAATTGGGTTAAACAAATGTTTGTAGTGTTCAAAGTTGTTATCTTTTGATAATATGTTGTATTGTTCATAGGGACAAAAAAATTTAATAAATTCAAATCTTGTGTATATGGAGGATTCCTTTGTTATTTTGTTTCACTTGGCTGATAAGAATCTTAGTTTTATGAAGGATTCCCTGTCTTAAATGATTTTAGCTTAAATATTTTCATGCTTGAGTTTTAGAAAATGGGTACTACTTTATATGTGTCATGTCTGGATAGTAGGAGGGTCAAGATCACATCACTAACACTTTACTTGTAATGATGGAAGTATCTGAGTGTGCCTTATCAGACTACTTTTATATATATATATATATATATATATATATATATATATATATATATATATATATATATATACTACTACAACTTAAAATCTTGAGGTTTGCTAGAGATATATCACCTGTGATTTCATTATCTAGTGTCGTTTTGTTCTATATGTTGGAACTGTTGCATATAAAAACTTAATCATAAAGAGTAGGCAGGTATTGGACAAAATGATATGATTTTGTTAATTATTATAAGAATTAGAAATTAATTGTAAATGTTATAACTATATAAACACATTAGTTAACTTTTCCATTTTATCAAGCTAATAAAATATGAGAATTTATCGATTTTGTTCATTATTTTTGTGTATTTTATTTTCTTTTCTTGTTACATTCAGTAAGTTGGTAGTCACTAATAATTTATTGCCATTATTTTAATCTAATTACTACACATGTAATTATCGTTATTCATATTTCTAGTGTTAAAATGTCTTTTAAAAGTTAAACTGCGTTATGATTATTGACAGTAAGAAACAAAAAAATTATATTTATTTCGATATTTGGCTCACCATTTTTAAAAGATTGTCCTTGCTGTTTTTGAGGAGTTGGAGACAAAAATTTCCTCTCCATACATTGCAGCTTATTTATTTCTAGGTAAAAATCCATTGCCTTCATATACTATCTGATACGTTTAGCTTTTGGCATTTTATATGTAGTGTGATAGCTATGCGATCTTGTTCCACCAGCCATCTAAACATGACAACTAGGAATTACATAGTATGTGTTTTTTTATTTATTATTATTATTTAATACCGCAACTTAATTTCAATTAAACTTAGCAGAATTAAGATTAATATTTTGTTTATTTACATGCTACATTAAATATGGCATAGTACATCTTGCTATTGAAGTTAAAGACCCAACATTAATGTTTTTCTGATAAGGTTAAGCAGATTAATTTGTTCTCACATTTATATTAGTTAACATTATTTTAATCAAATAGTAGATAGTATTTTCTATTAATTATATATTTATATACATAGGTGTTATTTTTAGTTTAGTGTCTAATAAACTGAATTAATGTTAATTTTATTTTAGACTGTGTCAGTAGATCTCCTAAAGACAAGAGGATGCGAGAATCTAGGGAAACTGAACATAGAACCAACCATGATAGGAATAGTACTGAAGTGAGTTTTGTGTTGAAAGGGTTAATATATAAGCATTAGATAGTTATTGTCATCTTTGATTGTTCCTATTAAATTCACTGTATTATTTGTAAAGTCAGTTAGAGACTGGTTACTGGATTTCTAAAAAATTAATTATATTAGTTATATCTAATTAAGCCGTAGTAAGGTTGGCAATTTCTTGGTAATTTTTATAAATATATTTTTTTATTTTCTAGAAGAATGATTCACATTCATTAAAATTGTCGCAAAATTCATCACGAGACACTTCTCAACGTAAAATTAATTCTACCTGTCAAGTAAGTAATTTATAGTCCTTTCTTTAAATTTTGTTAATAAATAAATGTATTTACATTAAAGTATTAAATAATTTTTCATTGTAGATTTTTAAGTTAATTTAAAGCAGTGAACATAGTGAATTATGTTGGGAACTAATGAATTATTTAGTGTCAGTAGTTAAAGAACTGTGCCACTTGGGCAGGAACGTTTGTTTTAAACTATAATCCTGCTAATTTATATTTTAAAAATCATTGTGGCATATTTTATTTGTGTAGAGCTCTTGCTCTCTTTCTATCTTTTATCTCAGCTGCATTTTTGCTTCAGTTCCTCCACAACTACATGTGTATTATGATGAGGAAACAGAAACATTTTTCTGTTTCTTAAGTCAAAATTATATGCATTTTCTAGGGTTGGTAAAGGTGTTTCAATAGGAGTCCTGCAGCCTATGGCAAAAAAGGAGGTGTCATGTTTCGTACTAAGTTTTGTCCTTATTAATGGACCATCTCCACAGGCTTGATGAAAAAAATGCAGGTCTGCCAGCATATAGTCGCTGGAATACAAAATAGTGGCCATGTGAAAATAGTAGAGACAGACCCTACATAGGTTGTAACGGTTTATATAAAGAGAGCTCATAGATATATAAAGTTACCAACTCTTTCAATTTATAGTATTTTCAGTCATGAAAGATATATGACAAGTCATGAAATAATAGTCATTTATCCTATATCTGTGGATTTCAAGTCGAAAAATTGAAGTTAAGATTCAAAAAGTTTACTTTTTTCGCTTATATCAGTAAAACAAAGAGCTCTTTCTATGTAAGTTTGCAATAGTGTAATACAGCACTGTTGCAACCTTCAGTGTGTTATATAATGACATATGTGTTAATAGTGATTATTGATTTTTACTAGTGAAAATATGTGTAATTTGATTCTTTTTATAAAGAATAAACTCGTGAAAACAATCTTACATCTATAATAATGTGGTATATAAAATTAAGCCTGACAAAATTTGCAATAGAAATGGTTATATATTTTTTTTCCTATATTCTATAGTTTCAGTTATATCTGTCCTCGTAATTCACTGATTTCGAAAAAAAAAAAAAAATTGCATCTCATTTTATCATTATTTGACTCGTCAAATCTTTATCTTTTCACTTTAAGAACAATTCATGAGGAAGAAAGTTGTTTAATATTAAATTTTCTTTAATAATATATATATTATTTTACTATCTTATCTTTAACCATTCAAAGGCTAGAGCAATTATAACTTAATGATTAAACTCTGAAACAATATGGAATAACTTACTTTTCACTATTTTTGTTAGTATACAGTTCTTAATCTGTATATAAGACAGTATGTTATGTAAGGCAATGTATAAACATGTATGCTGTTGTCTTATATACAGATTAAGAGCTGTATATAAGACAGCAGTGTATATATATATATATATATATATATATATATATATATATACGTAGTATATATATTATACCTTAAATTAAAAATATATAATTTTTATATTTATCTATCAATATATTTATCTACGTATAATCTATCAATTATGTAATATTAATGAAGATCTGTTCATGAAAATTTAGCTAAGAGCCAAAAATATTTTCTTTTACGCTATGTTAAGGTTGTTTTACCTTATTTCATGAAAATACAGAAGAGGTTCCATTATAGCTCACCTTGTACATAAGTTGCATTGAATGGGGATGGGATAGGTTTCTTTTTATTTTCTTATGTGGGTATGACAGAGATGCAAAATCCAAGTTTTTGATCTTATCGCCCCTCCTCTCTGTCCTTAAATGCCGTCCAACCATTGCAGCTTTGATTTGAGTTAGTTTTTCAGTGCCTGAGATTCAGCAGTTGGCTTAATTTCATCATAATTAGTTTTTCGGCGCCTGAGATTCAGCAGTTGGCTTAATTTCATCATAATTGGTCTGTTATTACAGCTGAATAGTCCGAAAATAATAAACCATCAAAACTTTTTAAAAAATGATTGGTCTTGGCAATAAAAAATATCAGTAAATTCAATTTTTTCAAGTCGTCCATGGCAAAGTTAAAAATAAAACGTCATTTTAAATTTAACAGCCTACTATAACGAAAATGCCTTGAAATAAAACATATAGATAATACATGTATCTTTCTAAATCACTGAATAATTTTTAATATATTTAAAACAATTCTGTAGAAAATGCACTTAATTGGCAGACAAGTGTCACTGGCGTAGATGCCTACAGTCCTCTCCCACCTCTATCGGTTCTCATAAATGGCATAGTTATTTTAACAATTAGATTTATATAAATCAACATAGGGTCCTTTTTCTCTCATTATTTATACCCATGTATCCTACTCCTTCAAAATAATAAATTAAATAAATATTGAATTCACTAACCTATTATAAGGCAGGTTATTGAAGACATAAATATTAACATTTTCATGTCTCAAAAAATTCATTTACTTCATTTAAAATTGTAAAAGTTTTGCATGCACTTGATGTAAATGTTTGTTAAATATTTTTTCAATTTCAGTCTTCTGGTTGTGAAAAATGATCTCTGCCTCTCCCACCAACCTCTTCCCCCCCTCACTTCACTGCTCCTTTAAAATGTTAACATGAATAAAAATTTCCTTCACTAAATCATATAAGACAGTTTATTGAAGATATAAAGACAATTTCATGTGATCAAACTTGAAAAATAGCTTCAAGTTTTTAAGTTCGAAACATTTCCAAATCTTTGAAAATGTGTATCTCAAAAATTATTAAACTTACCGAACTTATTCTGGTCTTCAATTGCATCATATTTAATCTAGTTTAAAAGTGTATAGAACGTTTTTGTCAAAAACATGCTCCTTCATCTGTCAAAATGGAGAAAAACTGAAAATATAGTAGTTTTTGAAAGTGATCTGATGGAGCCTCGAGGTCCCAAACTTGGATTTTCCATCTCAATAATATCCCATACAAGAAAGAAAAATAAACCTACCCTCATTCGATGCAACATAGATCCCTAGATGTCCCATTTTCATGACAAGGTTACTGGGCTATTAATAAATGTTTAACAAGCATATAAGTGATTGTCTCTGTTATTTATTGCATCATGAAGCTTTAGAAGCTGGAAGAAAAATTATATCTTATATATATTTACTATGTATCGGTCACTTGAAATTTTTTCATAAATGACTTGTAGAAGTAGAAAATTCCATTATAATGTTTTGGTAGATGACCTGTCTAATGTTTTTTATTTTTTCCCTAAAGGGTAGTGTTGGATTTAATTCTGGCAAGTTGTGAATTTAATGTTATTGTTAAAATTCCCCTATAGCCTGAAAGACGAGGTAGGGGAGAACAAAAAAAAGTCTTTTAATTTAATGATATATACCCAATTATACTTATGACACTTCTGATGTATTATATTGTATTCGTGGTAACCAATTATTTTATTTTTTATTAATTGTTTAGTTTTGCAAATTATATTGTGAAAACTAGTTATTAAGAAACTGTTTCGTGTCATTAAAGGTAATTAGTGATGTATCGTAATTGAAAAAATATATGTTTTTTGGCAAGTTTAGTAGGTACTCCTTAAACAGCTGGTCTGGACTGACTGCTAACTGCCAATGTTTATAACCTTAACACTGATAATCCTGATAAGGCACTGATAATTCCTATCTTCGTATTCTATTCATATTTATTGTATTGAATCCATATTATTGAAATTGTAAACAAATGTAATAATAATAAATAATTTTATTTTACAACATGTATATATTAAATGGACAAAAACAAATGTAATAATAACAAAACAGTTTGATTAAATACTATTATTTTACATTTATATTAAATAGACGAAAACAAATGTAATAATAACAAAACAGATTGATAAATACTTTTATTTTACAACATATATATGAAATAGACGAAAACAAATTTAATAATAACAAACAGTTTGATTTGAAATTGAATTAGTCAAAAAAGAAATGTAATGATTCCCACAACAATAACAATACTCTTGTATGTTGTTTTTAATACCTTCTGATAAAGTTGTTGCCTTTCTATCATTTATTTTGACGATAAAACATTCGTTTATTTCTCGGCAAACTCCGCCAAACATCCATTGCTCGGGTAAAACTCCCTACATGATTTTTCCTTTTAGAAAAAAGACTCGTCTACTTCAACGACTTTGCCAGGCCCTCCAATTTTTTTACTTGACCTGTATAACATGTAATGGAAACAAACCTCTCTTAAAAATTTGTTCCACGTTACCATAGTTGACTCTGATAGTTTCAGCTGCTCTCTGCTCCACTGTATTGTTGTTAAATTATGGGACCACCCATAAATGAATTTTAAAGCCGTTAAAAAATAAATCCTCGACCCTTCTAAACACATTCCTTTCCTTATAGAAACGTTTTTGTTACTAGTGGTATGAAAGCATCTCCATTTCGCCTTCCTGTTAAACTTCATTTCATGATCTTCATCACAATATTTCACTTCTGCAATTATCCTCGCGTCTTGAAAATATTTAATTGCCTCTTCTACTGAAGAGGGCAATTCTCAGAATGTAAGATAATTTGACACATCCATAATTTGACGAAAATCACACTAATGGAACAAAAATAAACGATGGAATAACTCACAGCTCACACGAGAAACAAAAAATAAACAATGGAACAACTGAGCTTACACGAGATAAGAAGGGAGGTTATGTGATGTAACATTAGATAACAAGGGAAGTTTCGACCGGCTATTTAAGGAGTACTATTTAATAAAAGTAAGTATTGAAGATTATGTTTCTATTGATTGTAGTGTCATGTCTGTAAGGGTTGCATGGATGATTTTATTTGTTTGCCAGAGAGAGGATGTTTGGTATTTATTAGATATTTTACAAATGTATATCATAATTTTTATAGAAGTCCTTCATTATTGTGGATGGCAGTATTTAAAATATGAAATAATCTACCAATTCTATAAAATTATTGATAAAGATCAGTTATGTCATGTTATAACTATTTTGATGATCTGGAAAAGTCATGAAATATGTTAAAATGGTTCTGGCAGGCACCCGGGTTAATTGACCCACAATCTCCATGATTTTTTTTTTCACTCTGACCTCAACACTTTCGAATTCATTGCTCTATCACGCACTCTTTCTTTGATTTTATTTAAATACATTTTATTTTTAAAATATATAAATTGAAGTTAATGCAGGTACTTTTTTAATAACTTTAAGTCTTTTTAATCTTTAAAAAAACTATATACTTTTGGATATGTTCTTCACCGTGTGGTCCAGTTGTATGTTAAATAAAAAATAACAATAAAAATAGTATTTGTCAGATGATTTTTTACCACCTGAAATTTAGTTTTAATTATTAAAGCATAGTTAGTTATTACTTTTGAAATATACCATTTCTTATTCATGTTACTTTCATTTTTAGCAAGAGAAAAGAGAAGACAGGGATAGAGTGGTAAGGTGTGGCGATTGGTCTGAACATTTAAGTTCCTCTGGAAAAAAGTATTACTACAATTGTAAAACTGAAGTGTCACAGTGGGAAAAGCCTCGAGAATGGATGGAACCAAGACCACCACAAACACAAAGGCATTCGTATCAACCCCCACTTCAACAAAATCGAACAAGTAAAATTTTTATTACTTTCCTATCAACAAGCAAAAGTTAAAAAAAAAATAAAGATTAATAAATTAAATGTTAAATTATTATTGAAAAATCCAACGATATAGCCTTTTTTGTCAATAATGCAGGAAAAAAAAAAAAAAAACTAACAGGTTAATGATTCACCCATTCAGATCACTAAGAAATGCTGAGGGGTTAGTTTGTTTTCTCTGCATTTTAGAGAAGTTGTTATCGAATTTTTGATTATTTTTTTAACATTTAAATTCAAGATTTAGCGTACTTCAGAATTAACCAATATTCTTATTTGCTAGAAAGAACTTAAAAGCTTTTCACTTTTTATTACCTTATATGGGCAATTTTCATGAAAATTTTTTAATAATTTTGGCAGCATTTAATTACAATTTTCTAAATACCTACTCCTATTGCCGTTCAGCTTTATCTGAGCAAATGGCCAAGTTCAAAATTACTTTGTGCTAATTTAAGTAAGTAAAGCTAATAATTCGGTTGTGGGAATGAAACGAGTTTTCAACTTGCTAATGACATTTTCACATATTTTATTCGCCCAAAACCGCTGTGTAACTAGTGTTATAATTTTTGTTTTTCTGCTACTGACTTGTTACTATCGGTATTCAAACGTGAGTTATAATAAATGAATTAATTTGAACAGGTAGTGAGATAATATACGTGGTGATAATGACAACAATAAAGATGGATGCTCAACGTATAAGAAATGGATGCGTAGAGAGAGGCTCTCCAACTGGTTGGTATATCCGCTGGTGGCTGTCCTTTAACTCCATGGCTACTAATACACTCTGAAGAAATTTCCCCACTGTTTCCTCTTTTTTAACGCTTAAATATAATTGTGTACTAGAAAACAGGGTGGGACAATACGTGTTAATGCCATTTTAGTAGCTTAAGTAATTATAAAATCACACTATTCTTTAATATTTCATTATGAAGAAATACTGCTTCACCGTATAGCAGTGGGAAAAAAAAATCAAGTTAGACTTAATTAATCACGTAAAAGTTGTAATGGACTAAAACTTGCCCCTAAAATGAGAATTACCCATATATGAAAATAACTATTTCTAGTCAATGTAGAGTGGTAAATAAAAGTTTGTGGTGTGTCACAGCACCAGAATTTTAAAATTACTGTAGGGGATGACTAAACAACTCTATTTCTAGTCAATATAGAGTCTTAAATAAAATTTGTGTGGTGTGTCAGCACAAGAATTTCAAAATTACTGTAGGGGATGACTAAACAACTGAAAACCTCATAAACATGAAAAATATATGATCGACTATGTTTTTCCTCCACAGCTGGTGGTACAGTATTGGATAAACATTCCGTAAACAGCCGTAAGACTGTGGCAGTAGGCAGCACTGCTAGAACTGATAAACTACCTTCTACTACTAGTAGCAGTAGTTATTGGCCTGGGGTACACCATGAGTCTCTTAACACCTCTAAGCCAGCCACTGACCTTCCAAACAATTCAGGTACATCTATAGGTATTTCATCTTTTCTTCTAGCATTAAGCAGTCATATTTATATTGAAGTGTATATACATAATTTATTTTTGTTTAGTGGCCATAATTTGTTAAATTTAATATTATAACAATTTTGAATACCAAAAGTTATAATTGTAAAATGTATTTGAAACATCTTGGCGCTATTAGGAAAATTTGAATTCATCACCGTTTTGAGCAGTTTAGATACAATGAGATTCAAGAGAATGTCCTGGTGCTGCCTATAATCTTTCATGATCTATTTAAATCTTGTCAGACTGGCAGTGTGCCGTAATTAGTTGTTTAAAATATTATTTAAAAGGGAGTTAGTTCAGTTCTAATTAGTTAGTGATTTTAGTGTTTGTGAGTTTTTAATGAAGAATATTGTTATCATAATAAGGTTATAGAGTTTTCTTTAGTTTAAATTATTTGTATTTATGTTATATACAAGTTCTCCAGTAAGGACTGTATTTGAGATTAATAACTGAAATTTTGATTTATTGATAATCAGTATCAAAAAATTGTTGAATTTATGAGTTGTTACTATTGATCAAATTTCCCTGAAAGACAGATTATTTTTATATGTACTATACGGTTCTACATAAGGACAGTTTGTAATCAATAATGGACCCACTATCTTGGTATTAAAATTTTTACCATCCCCTTGGCCCCACCTAAAACTTAATAAAGACTGATTTTTTACTTTACACTATTTATAATATGCAAAATATTAAACTCTACTTGACATAATGTTTGTATGAAATAGAATATGAACTGAAAGGTCACTGTCCAGGTCTGTAAATATACCTGAACCTAAATATTTATCAATCATCAATGCAAGAGTTGCTTTTCATTTTTTTTTCTCTAATTTAATTTATGTACCCAGTAGGAGTTGCTGATGGTCAAGCTACAGATATGGAAATATGCTCTGGTGATAGCACCCCTACCTCAGAAACAAGCGGAGGCCCTCAAGAAGGTGCCAATGCCCCGGGACCACCTCAACAGCCTCTCCATGTAGAAACGATTGGTCTATCTGTCGATCCTGGACCTCCTACCCCAACACATTCAGAGACACAAGACTGTACAGATGCTAGGAAGTGTAAGATAAATTTCATTTTTATCAATTGGTCTTATTAATTTTCAAAAATCAAATCTCTTCTTTTGTTAATATTTTTGTTATTGTTTCATTATGTTTCCATCCATGTCACCTAAGAAACGAGAAGCTGCTAAGTTAATTATTGTAACTAGAGTATATCACTTTGCATTAATAATACATTTATTATACATTAGATTTTTAGTTAAAAAAAAAATTTCAGTTTTCAAATAAAAATTTTTATTATTACTACTATGTAATATATATAAATATATATATTTTTAAAGAATCCTTACTTAGGGGAATAATTTTTCGCCATGTCTTCCAATTAGTTTTATTTTGTTCAGACTAACAAAATAAAAAATTCATTATTATAAAATAATTAGTAAAAAAAAAAAAATGAAAAAAAAATAGTTTAGAAGATGCTTTAATATATCAAGCTATATAATATTATAATATAAAAATTTATTTATGTTATAATGGATCCTATGAGACTATTGATAGCAAATAAAATAATAAATGATTATGTATATAGCAGGTTCAGGTGTTCAGCTGGTTGTTAAAACTAAAATTTATTTATTAAATTTACTTGTAATATGTTTGTCGATCCAAAATACTTGGTTTAATTCTTTTATGTTGGCTTTTTATTAAAAATCATTTGAGTAAACTTAGTTGTATTGTGTTTTTTAAGCCAAAGTAAATTTTAATATTCTCAAGGGTTGTGATCCAGGAAAATCAAGTGAATCTTAAATTTCCAATTGCTGAGTCTTACTTCCTGTGTAAATCTGGGGCTGTATTCTTTTTAAAATGGATAACAAAAACAAAAGCACAAATTTGTTTATACCTTTTTTTTTTAATTTTTATTAAAATTAGTAGTATTTATTTATATATATATATATATATATATATATATATATATATATATACTAATTAAATAATATATATTAATATTACAATATAATTTAATATCAATTTAATTATAATTTAATATTAATATATTTTAATATTAGAATTAGAATTAGAATATATATAGATATATTTATGTGTCTACTGAATCTGCAGTAGTCAGAGAAGTTATTAAGAGTTTCTGAGCTTGACATTACTGTCAGTTTCACAATAAGTTAACACTGTAGTGATATACACTCAAGTATCCTTGTGCCACCTGTAAATGTATTACAGTGTGTTCATTGATTTTTCCTGATACACAATAATTTTCTTTATTTTTGTCAGTAATTATTTTCTGATTATATTCTTAAAACTGTTCATTAAAAAACAATATCCATGCTACTAAAGACAATTTGTGTTTTTTTTGTAGTAATATATTTCTATCTCCCAAAAGTGATTGTTTGGCTTTATTAAACAAGTGTAAAAGTTCGTATTACATATGATGTTGATAAGTGACGAAGCGGACCCCACTTGTTATGGAATCCCCATTTAAAGGGATTTTTACTTGATGATAACTGCACTAAAATTACAAAAAAAAAAACTTTAGATGGCATTTTTTTTAGTGTTAATTTTCTCTTGGTAGATTTTTTAATTAATCGTATTATAAATTTTTAACTAAAGAGTACCAACTTATTAACCAGCCAAACCGTAGAACATTCATATAAAAAAATACAAACATAATTTTTTTATACTCGCTAGTTTTGTGGATTGTGGTATTTAAAAAAAAAATTATATACCTATTAAGTAAAATAATTATTAATAAACATTAGTTATGTCCTATTTTTATGACTGGAAAAACCTGGAAGAGTCAGGGAATTTCATAAAAAGGTTGCAGTAGACACCTTGTTTAAAATTAGAACTTATTTTGAGTAGGGTTTAGGAAAATTCTCTGTAAAGTGGGCGAATTATCCTGGAAAATGTTAGTTTCTCTTATCAGCAAACACAAAAAATTGATTATTTGTACATATGTACTGTTTTTACTTTCACTTACCTATATATGTAATATATAGTTAGGGTAAATATTGCGATCGCGAACATTTTCGAGTTTTCAAGGGAAATACACGTTTTGAGGTACCCTGAGTCCAAATAACCAAGTCCCGAAATATGGCCGTGTGTCTGTGAACACTAGCTCGAAAAAGAAAAGTTGTATGAAACTGACATTACGTATTTAAGATAATATATGCCTTAGATAGATGTCCTAGCAATTTTTCCCTTAAAATCGCCTAACCGGAAGTGCCATTTTATATCAACGCTGAAACACATTTTTACAATTTTCTCAAAAACGGCTCTGACGATTTTGATTTAACTCGTTGTTTCATTGTATAATTAAGTGGTCATTAATATCATTTAGGTCTTATCCCCATTGAAGTCACTTTACAGGGCTTAAATGCCCAATGTTCATATACATCTTCTAAAGTACCTTTAATATGGTTCATTTCAAATAATTAACTCTCCCATTATTAAAACTTACTAAAAAATGCTGAATATAACTTTTAAAAGAATTTGATAATTTAATAAACGATAAAAAAAGAAAAATGCTTATCCAGAACGAAATTGATTCTCCGGATATACTAGTCAGAAGGAAGGTATATGTATAAGAAAGCGGAGAATTTTAGGAAAAAACAATATCTAATATAGAAATTTGTAGAGGGTAACGGAGAGTGGCAAAAAAATTATAAGTAATAATTTATGAAAACTAATAATATTTAATTAAAATTAGAATCTATAAAACAATTATCTTGTCCACAGTTCTTTATGGATGCGAAACTTGGCCGCTTACATTAAGGGATGAACAGCGTCTTAAGGTTTTTGAAAATAAAGTATTGCGTAGAATATTCGGACCGAAGAAGGATGAGTTAACCGGAGAGTTCAGACGGTTACACAACGCCGAATTGCGTGAGCTGTATCCGGGTAATATAATTGAGGTAATTTCATCGCGGCGAATCAAATGGGCTTGTAAAGTTGTTGGGCTTAGTAACGAGAGAATTCCTTAAAGGTTAATATTTGCTGTGCTGAATGGTAAGCGTCCGAGGGGTAAACCGAAGCGAAGGTGGGAAGATTGCATTAAAGCTGATCTGAAGGGACTGGGTTTGGACGGCGAACGGTGGAGGGAGGTGTGTAACAAGCGATTGGTGGTGTCGGCATCGAACCTTCGGGTTCGCTAAGCCTTATTATTATTATTATTTTTATTATAATAATATTTAACGTAAATCACATGTTTTCAAGGAAATTAAATGAAATTTACTACATGTAAACTTTTTAAATATTTTTAAGTTGTATTTGAAATCCTCCTAATCAAGGCAATGACATTGTTTAAAAACTATTTCATTGTACTTGTGTGAAAGAAGGAGTAAAATATAAAATCACTTTCATGGATGATAAAGCATGTGTTAATAACCCTGAATACATCTACTGTAGTTTAATAATTCTAGATCTGATATTATATTTAAATAATTAGGTATCAACGTCTGTTTATTCCGAAATATTGTTGTGTAACTTTTTACAAAATTAAATTAGTGAATAATTTGATAAATCTTCCCTTTGTGATATTCCAACATTACTCACTACTATTTCATTATAGTTGTGTGAAAAATATTTCATAGATACGTTTATAACCTTAAATATATTTACGGTAGTTTAATAACTCTAGATCTGATATTATATTTAAATATTTATATATCTATCGTCCGTTTATTCCGAAAAATCATCATGGAACCTTTTATAAAATTAAATTAGTGGATAGTTTAATGAAACTTCCTTTTATGATATTCTAACAGTATTCACTTACAATTAGTGTGACAACTTTTGACCTGTCTATGACAGACAATGCAAATCTCTTAATTCCGTTTTAGTAAACTTTGCAATGGAAAATAACAGTTTAATAACTAATAGTCGTACAATCAATAATCAATGGATCATACAATCCATAATCAACCGTTGATGTAATAAATAGGACTTTTGTTATTTTAATGGGATTTATGATTTGTTAGCTCTAATTTATTAGCTTTAGCCCGGTTAAAAATGCAATTAAAAAATTTTATAATAGCCCAGCATGGCCAGAAAATAATTCTTATTCAATGTAGAGTGGTAAGTGAAAGTTGTGTGTTGAACGCACCAGATTTTTAACTTCTCGAAACAATTTTGATTTTTCATTACCTTGGTTTACTGTACCAAATATGCAAAAAATTGGGATTACTACACATTTTTGCTGTAGTACATAATCAAAACTTGTATACATCAATGTCATAAAGTTGAGGAATTACAGTGCTGAATATTTTTAGTATATTTTACAATCAGCTGTTTAAAAGTACTTAATATCTGTGGCACCTGTCCATAGTGTATTAAATGCAAAAATCATATTTATGGAAATATGAAATTTTCACAGGTGCAAGTTCAATTTTTTAGTTTCAACCCTAGAATCGCTGAGGAATGTTCATTCCTTTAATAGCCGCATAACTTAGCCCATTAGACAGAGATAGAAAGAGAGAGAGAAGTTAGCTTTCTAGTGATACTTATAAAAATTCAAAAGAGTGTACTTAACGCACTTTTCATAGGTGACACAGATATTGTAGTATAAATATTACTTATAAGCTATCAATATATTTATTGATAGATGTTTTTGGTAGTATCTTTTTTTAAAAAGTTTGTAGAAGACTTACTGAAACTAAATTAGTCTATGCCTTACAAATGTTTGATAAATATTGTTATGACATAAAAAATATTTTTAAAAAAGATAATAATAAAACAACAGATTTTTCATATTTGATCATTTTACATTTTAATAATCAAATACTAATTTAATACTTAAAGAAAAATAAATATCTTACAATTTTTAGATATGAAATATTGCATGTTGTGCGTTCTGATAGGTTCTGTGTTGCAGTGACAAGTCCTCCAAGCAGTCTCCTGAGTGCAGGAACAGCATTAGCTGGGCTAAGGCCCCAAGCGCCGAACCTTACACCTTCCCTCGCCAATCATTATAGGGATGACCTTGTAAACCATGTGCGGGGTTGGCCTGCTGATCTTTTGGAAAAACAGGTATTTATTGTAATATTCTACATGTTTTATTGAGGTTGTTTGACTTAATTATGTAAACAATTTTATTTGTGTTTTATTCCTGATTGATCTGTATATGCTCCAAAATTACATGTATTGGTTAAGTAATTGGGATTGGTAGTTAGTTATCATAATTTTTCAAATTAATTTCCGATAAAGTTCACACTTTATAGTTGCTCCTGGTGAGAGAATATTTTTCACTCCTTTTCCCTAAACCTAGACGGTGATGTTGTCCCAACCTAACCACAGTGGGGACTTTGATGTATTTTTTTGTGGGATCACATTAACAGTGACTCACTGACTCAGATGAGAATTGAAACCACACCATTCCGCAGCAACCGGAGACCCTAAATCCAATTTGCTCTTGATTATTCAGCCTGTTCTTTCTAGATAAGAAATGATTTTCTTCTGTTGTTGATCTATATTTACTTTAAAGTAAATATTGTGTTTATGTTTATTAATTTTAGTGAATGTTTACTTTTTAGAAAAGATTGTTTGAGAACAGGAAAATGTTGGGATTTTTATATGATGCATTATTAATTTTTGCTTGAAGGTTTTGACATTTCATTAAAATTTATATATTAAGCATTAATGAATAATTAGCTTTTCCTTTTGATTAAAGAAGCTTTTAAGTTCTCTTCTTAAAAAGAAAGGATATTTTCAGTTCATACATTTGATTATATAAACAAATGTCTAGATAAGTACATAAAATTTATAAAAGGGTCTATGCAATATATGTATATACTTTTTGTGGAGGTGGCCATGTATGGGAGAGAAGGCCCAGTTGTGACAAGCCTCATTACTGGGAATCCTTAGTTGTGGTATGAATTATAAAAAGGGTACTCTTGAGTACCTCTAATTAGACCATCAGAGAGATATAAAGAAATTTCAATATTATTCATTTAGGTTTAAGAAAATACTTTAAAGGTTATTTGATTGAAGTCTTAAAAAAAAAAAAATACTCTATACTGATAAAATGATTATGATAATTATACAAGTAATGAAAATTTGGAAACTAATAGAATTAAGTTGAATATACATACCTATGGGGAAGGGCGAGGCTGTGTGTTTTTATAAATAAATAAAAATAGTAACAGTAAAATATAGAGAATTGTTGCAGCTTTCATTAGCACTGTCTAACCTTTCTGTCACCTCTAATGATAAAAAGGTATCCTGTTATCTATACCATCTGTCACCTCGTTAAGTATTTCCCCCTTACTTAGTAAGCACTCTTTATAGAAAGAAGTATGGCACATCATACCCCCAATTAACCCAGTAGAAGTATTGCTATTGTTACCTATGCTAAAGGTGTCGCTTACCTTTAAAGATGTACCTCTCTTCTTAGGCATGTAGATGTATGTATGAAGATGTAGCAGTCTCTTCTTAGGAATTTGTTGTCTCTTTTTTCACTTTCAATTTCCTATGTATGAAATATTTTAGTAAGGGGAAATATTGCGATCATTAAAATTTCGAACCTTTGTTTGAACAGAAATACATGTTTTGAGGTCTCCTGAGACCAAATAACTAAGTTGATTTTGATTAAACTCATTAGGTCAGTGTATTATTAAGAGATTTTTAATTTAAGGTAGGTTTTATCCTCAATGCAACCTGACAGGGCTTAAATGTAGATTTTTTCAAAATGTCCTCTAAAGTACCTTAAATTTTATTAGTTTAAAATAATTAACCATTTCACATTAATCTCCCATGTAAAAAATAGTTAAATTTAAAATATGAAAGCATTTGATAATTAACTAAAGGAGAAAGAACAGATCGTAACAGAGAGAGAATAGTTGTAATGGAAGAGAAATAGGTGCTCGTGAGCTTGCCGGAAAGATTAAAACAGACTTCCATATATAACATAAGCTTAATAATACGACAATATTATGTATATATACATATGAGGATTATATATAAGTTCATATATTGTCCTAAGGATAGAAGAGTATAATTGGGCAGCAATCCTTTATATTTTATATTTTATGAAAATAAAGTGTTTCTCTCTCTCTCCTGGTACCGTTGGTATTATTTAATGTCTAATTGTATAGATTACAGTGATATAAAAATTCAAAATTGTATATATTCCAGTACTTAACAAATAAAAATACCCTTAATGAGATATAAATAAATATAGCCGCTTCCTTTATCAGTGGCACTCTTATTGGACTAAAAATATTTTGTGACACTTAATTTATTATAATAAAATAAATAATACAGTCGGAAAAAGAAATGACTATTGTCAAACAAATAAAATATAATACATTAAAAGGCTATGAAAAACATATAATAATTAATTGGTTTAAATAATGTTTCTTACCTTCTATAACTTTTACTTCCCTTTGTCTTGAATTACTTATTTCTGCTAAGAAGAGGGTGGTAAGTGAAGGTTGTGTGATGCACACACCGCACCAAATTTTTGTTCTTCTGATCTTAATGACGAAAATTCCCTAAAAAAATACAAAACTTAATCTATACTACTTGATGCAGTAAGTCTCCTGGATGGCTCAGAACATTATTCAAAACCATACTTCCGTCACATTTCTTCTACTTTTGTTTTTTTTTTTCTTTGTTCACATGTGTTATTAATTTAATGCTACCTTTATTTTCTTAAACCATTTGTGCTATCTAGATCATATGTTATGTTATCATGTGTTATGTACATATTTTCCTAACTGAGAATAATGCCACCTAGATCCTGTTATATTTATGTTTAAATAAATAATAATTTCAAAATTTAAAATAGTCATCAAACTTATACTTAAAGAAAAAAAAGTTTCTGACAGTTCTACTCGCTAGAGGTTTGCATGGTGTGTGTCATTGATTTTGATCATAACTGTTTTGATGATTATTCTTTATTGAAAAAAAAAATCAAGTCAAGCTTGTTCATTTTGTCTAATGGGCCTTACTAGATCTACCCATAAAATAAAACTGGCAAAATTATATTGAAAAGGTTCTTCCTCTAAAACATTTATGAAATATACAATACTTGTTTATATATTCAAGAATTTTTGACCATCAAATTGTTTCTTGAAGTTCTTTACCCTGTCTCATTTGTTTGATTTTGATGCTCTTAAACATGTTGTAAATTGGAGAGTTTCTTTTTACGATTCATGTAAAAAGAAATTGGATTATCTTTAAAGGGCTATGTAAAAACAATATACAGCAGGTTTGTAGCTTTATTAATTGTAGTAAATTTGCTAAAGAATGAGCTTTGATAATAAAGTTCAGTAAGTTTAGTAGTAGTTCGCGAAACACATTTATTTACAAAACTTTCATTACTGAAAAACAATCACTATTCTCTGACTTTATTTTTGCAATTATCATATAAATAGCTATCCCTACAAAATAAAACATTAAAAAATTTAAAGTGAATTTAAATAGATTAACTTTAATGCTAATAGACTTCTATATGCTCAATAGTGCCAGAGATACCATAATTTTCTCTAGATTATTCACTTTTGGCAAATTGTTAATATCATGTGAAAATATTTTCAGGTATTTGCCTAATTCATACTATGATAGAAACAATCTTAAAAACTTACAGCTTTCAACATAAGAAAATGACAATTATTTTAATTTATTAAAATTAAAATAAGTACAAAAATATAGGAAAAAGAAAAAACACACAACACTATTGGATTAAATTAATACTTACTTTAATAGTTGAGTTACCTTAAACTAACAACAGAAATCTGTCACTATATTTGAAATTTAGCTATTTATGGATTCTTTTCTCGCTCGAAATTTAGCATTTTTCTCGCTCTTTGAAAGGATGAAATCAGTTTATATTACAAAAAATTGTATGTTGAATTTAACTTTATAGTTAATACATGGTGGGCCAGACACCCCTACTGTCCACTCCCTACCTCTTTTCCCCCACATTCCTATAAATTGCATATCATCGTGTTCCTAGTAACTATTTATTAAAAAAAAGACAATGTTCCCACAAAAAAAAGTGAACGCACTGCCCCAAAATGGCATCTAAAGTTGGCGGATTGGCGACTTTGACTTGAGTTAGTCTTTTGGTCACTGAGAATCAGCATTTGGTTTAATTTTGTCATAATTGGCCTTTTATTAAAGCTAAATAGTCAGAGAATAATAATAAAACATGAAACAATAATAAAAAATAATTGGCTTAGGCAATAAAAAAACCAGCAGTCAATATTTTTTTTAAAAAAAATTTCAAGTTGAAATTCAAGCATCGTTTGTAATTAAACGGCCAACTATAACGAGAAACGTCCTGAAATAAAACATCTGGAGAATATATTTCTCTTTCTAAATCACTGATAACTTTTTAAAATATTTAAAGTTGTTTTGTAGAAAATGTGCTTAATCGGCGGAAAAGTGGTACTGGCGTAGGTGCCTACTAGCCTCTGCCACATCATGCAGTACTCATAAATGGCAAAGTTATAGTGTTATAATAACTTTTTTGGTTCATTATATTGATTGTATTAACGAACAAATATTAATGCAATAATTTAACTGTCCAAATAAATTGAACAATTTTTTTTTTTTTTTTTTGTAATGTTACTTCCTTTATTCTACACGGAGGTCGTTTAAGAATGCTTCTATTTATATTCTATTCTGCCATTTATAAGTATTAAATGATGTGGCAGAGGGCTGTGGACATCTATGCCAGTACCATTTTTCCACTGATTGAGTGCATTTTCTACAAAACCACTTCAAATATTTAAAAAAAGTTATCAGTGATTTCGAAAGAGAAATATATTCTGTAGATGTTTTATTTCAGGATGTTTTTCGTTATTGTTGGCCGTTTCATTACAAACGATACTTGATTTTCTATTTGAAAATAAAAAAGGGGTGCACAGGATTCTAAGATTGAATCACATGATTCAATCTTTAGTAGTGGTTGCCTGTTATTTCCTGAAGGAAAACAACACCATAAAATATATGCATCAAATCAAAATGGAAAGTGGATCTTCTAAATTTAATTTGAAAAAGAAAAGTTGTAGGTGCTCTCTGTTAATAAATTTCCAAATGAGCGTAGCTAATGAGAAGGCAAACAAACAGAAAATTTATTTGTTTAGAAACATAACATTCTTATTAAAATTATTAACTTGGAAACATAACATTCTTATTAAAATTATTAACTGTAGCCCAACTCCATTTCACTTGGCCTTCGAGAACCCAAGGATAGTAATATTTTAACAGATAATGTTTGTGAATAAAGATTTTGACAGATATTTAGTGTTGTAATCAATGCAATTTTGTTTGTTAACGATATGTAAAAAACTTAATAAAATTGTTGCATATAATATTTTTATTTTCTATTACCAGTTTTAAAAAATATGTAAGTATATTAGTTCTGGCTGATTTTAGAGTTGGTAAGTGAGTTAGTTGTGAAACAAACTATTAAAGAGTCATTTGCATTAAAAATATTACTTAATCACTGATATTCCACAGGCTCAAAAGATGAGCGAGGAAGCTCATGGGCTGGGTAGTATGTGTACAAGGGTGTCAGCAGAATTGAAATGTGCCCGGTCTATTGTGAGACTTACCGAGATTCAGGCAACTCTTCAAGAACAAAGGTATTTCTTCATTATTATTTCTTTGATTCAGCCTATTTTATCATTATGTGTGTATCTGAGTGTATATATATTTTTTAAAAGAATCTTTTGGCTAATTTTAAAGCCACTCTTGTGCTTTGTTCACAATATTTTTCTTCTCAAATATAATTTCTCTATAGGAATTCATTGTTGAAGGTCATCCGTGGATTATTTCTCACCCCATTGAAGACATGATAATTATAGTGATTAACATCTGTTAGATCAAGAGGCTTATTAAAATAAAACATTCTATTAAAGTTTGTATACTCTAGTTAGATTGCTTTTGTAATTTATTTAATTTAAATGGAGCCAAGATACTTTTTTTTCTTTTTCATCTGTAATAAATAAATCTGAACATTGTACTGTTTCACTATTCTTTGTTTTAACTGAACTATTTTTTTCTGGTATAAAATACAAAAAAAAAAAATATTAAACCTTTTATTTTATTTTTTTATAATTCACCATCATTTAATATATGTTACAATACTATTTTTCAATACAGCCATGGCTTTATGTCTGAATTGAATCTTGTTTAAAATTATATTTTTATTATCTTCTTTATTTTTTTCTCCTATAATTTCTTTTACTATTAGAGAATTAAAATCACTTTTAAATTATTGAAATATTGTGTTTTTTGTTTTCTTAAAAATATTTTATATATGAATTCAGTTCTGTAGAACCTTTGTCAACATTGAAACTCCTCTTCAGCCAACTGTTTTATTGCTGAATATTTATTTATTTATTTTTGAAAAAAAAATAGTATTATATTTTTCTCGAACAGGAATTGATTACTTGTTTTAAATCTGGAATTAAGGTTTTCCTTAATTGAAATATTTTGTTTGCTGGCAGATTTTTTCTATTTATAAAACATTTCCTCTTTTTTTTTCATTAAAATAATGACCTACACCAGTGAATTTTAAGCTTGATCTGCCTTGCAAAAGGTCGGGCAATTAATTTTTTTTTTATATTGTTAGGTGTATGTGTATAGTGAATATTAAAAATCCAAGTTTTCTGCAAAAACCACTGAATTTTTGGATTTTTTTTTTGTTTTCACAGAATATCTCATTTTTAAAGCGTTTTAAAAAAATTATTATTTTAAATTTTAAAATGCTTGAAATTTGCCAACATTTATGTAAGAAACTTAAATTTATGGTAGAACTTAATCTCATATAACTGAATCTTGGTTAAAACCGTGAATGATGTAACATCAGATTCTTGCATTGTCCAAAATTTATGAGTAAAATGTTGTTGTCAATGATATTGACTGAGGATTACATCATTTTATTCATATTGACTTCACCATCCAGGATTGGATCGAATGTTTTATATTTGGAAGTTTTTATACCTTAAAACCATTAATATATTGATTTGATTTGAAGATCTAGTAATTATATGATATAAATGATCAAAAATTTGGCAAACAAATTTTGATCAATACTTTCATAAGGTATTATCTTAAATATTCAGTAAACAAATTTATAAACTTTTTCAGTCTATTTGTTTTTTAAATAATCTAACATAATCCTGGAACAAGTTGTTGCCCAAATACCCAATCAATTACCAGCTTTGTGGCTTAACTTTTAAATTTTATTGAAATTTATCTATGATCTTATGTAGTCTGATTTTTTTATTGATGATGGTTGCTTGTAAAACTAATTTAGGAAGTTGCATGGGGTGCGGTATATAGTTTCCATATCTTTCAGGGAGTGGGTTCGGCACTGACTACTAAAGCTCAAGATCCCAGGTTTGAATCCAGCTCATAATTAAATAATTAATTAAGGGGGAAAATCTGGCAGTTAAGTGTGACCTCTTCTTAATCACCTCATTGTACAAACGTTGACCAGGAAACATTACTTCCCAATATAGAGTACTGAACCCCAAGACCCTTCATGGGTTGTAGTGAGTGGCGCAGGTATTTTTTTTTATCTTTCATTACTCACTGTAATTTTCATACTCATTGTTATCTTTTTAAATACTTGTTATATAACTATATGTAGTGCATCCCCAAGTAACTTCAAAAATTAGTTTTACTGTTGACTATCATCAACAAAAGTAAGCCACAAAGCTGGTATTTGTTTTAAGTATTCTGGCAACAACTAGTTCCAGGAAGCAAATATTTCTTGTTCTGTATTATTTAGTATACTAAGTGTATAATAGGTATTTAAGAAGGTAACAATGAGTAATGAAAGAGTTGGATATGAAAGACTACAGGAAATCCTCATTACTATGATAAACAGAAATTGAATCCCCTAGAAAAAAGTATTGATTTTTCTACAGCACCTTCTTTAATAAAAACTAATTCTGTTAGTATGAACTGCCTGCGGACTTTTGACTCCTTGTGAGAAATAACTTTGTTACAAAGGCATATTATAAGTTACCTTCTGCATCACATAAATAAAAATTTGTGAGGACCTTTGATTGCAATTTTATCAAGTCCTTTGAACTTGGTATGTAACGACAGTAAAACTTCTCAGTAACAGGCACCAACGGGGAATCAAAATAAGTGGAGAGTTAGGGCAGGAACTCAACAAAACCATTCTTATATAACTTGATCTATGGCAAAATCTGAAGTTTTAGGAAATTATTGTTTTGCATTAACATTTCCCTGTTGGACTCCTTGTTCACACAATTTTTTTTTTTTCATTTATTGTCACATACGTTTTTTTCAATCTTGAACCAAGAGGCTAAATTATGAATACTGAGTTTTTCATGTATACTCATTAATAACGTCAATTTTTTGTTGAAAATCAACCATAAAAGAGTTATGTTGGCATGTTAACAACTAAAACTGTAGCACACTTCAAAATCCAATTCATGAAAAATTGAACTTGACTATTGTAAACAGCCAGAATCACTGGCTTTCTTTTGTCTATTACAGAGAAAATCTGCTACGCTGAAGTCATTTATACTATAAATTTATTGAAATCAGATGAGGTGGCTATAGGTTTCTCTGTATTTATATGTCTTTCATTTATATTAACTGCCTTGATCTGTTCTAGCCAGAATTAAAGAAATTCTCCTTTGATAATTACATTACTAATCTCACAAGATATGGAATCGGCCTTGTTAAATAATAATAAAAAAATTACAGTGAAGTATATTCAAAATTCAACTTAATTGACCATAATAATATAATTAATATGTGAATGTTTTGATAAATAAAGTGTTAATACATATTTGGTTTTTATTAGAAATTAATAAAAATAATCTACTTATCTTTGTATTTATTTGGATATTAAGAATTTTGTCAGAGGTACCCTTCCTCTAACAGTCGATGATGCATTCTCTCTTCTTAAGAACAATGCAAGCCAAAGTATAATTATAAAAATTGTTTCCTGGTTGAAATTTCCTACCTTATAATATGGCCCCCTCTGAAAATTCTTAACCCTTGATGTCCCCTTAGTAATTTTGATGGAACAATTTGCACATTTAATCACTTAATTGACCTTCATATTAGATGTGGAAATATGCAATATTAAACCTAAAAAAGGTGTTTTCTGTTACTCAGAATTGTTTTTATTAAAATAATAATTGAAAATTAAAACTATGCACCTAAATTCATTGTATGCTAATCTTATTCGGTCCGATTTATAAAAATCAACATATTTAAAATAAATAGGTCTATTAATGAGAAAATTAAGCAAGTATAATTTAATTTATCATGGTAGGTCATGTTGACGATTGCGAATGTATCTGCACTTCATTCTAAAACATATTAAAATCATATTCTTTAACATAAATTAACTTCTACAATTAAATTAAAATCTGATTATCTTTTTAATTCATTAATCTTAAATTATCATACTTATCGATTACAATCTTATAATATAAAATTAATATTATGAGTAAAAAATAATAGCAAGAAACTATAATTTTTAGTTTTCCTGATTACTATAATTTTTAGTACTTTATATTATAATAGTCCGTGGTACAGACCCTTTTTATCGAATTAATAGCGTCTGGCTGAAACTTCATAAATATCTTCATCTCATCATAACCTACAAATATTTTATTTACGAAAATTCTCGGAATTGGTGTGTTTTCAAACTGGAGTTTGGCAAACTTTGTCTATTTAATTAGATACTAAAAATGCATTAATACCCATTTGCTTTCCACTTAAATCATTAGATAACTTGAGCACAAAGTCGGTTAAAAAGGTGGCCTTCAAAACTATTGGCGTGATCTACACCCCAAATTGTCAAAATAACGAGGTTATATAGGGCAAACAGCCCAATATTTTTGTGGCCCACCTTTTTTATCGATTTTGTGATCAAATTATCTTACCATTCAAGCAGAAAGCAAATGGGTATTTACGAGTTTTTAGTACCTAATTAAATAGGCTAAGTTTGCTGATCTTCAGATTGAAAACGCCCCAATTTCGAGAATTGTCATAAATAAAAAATTTGCAGGTTACGATGAGATTAAGCTATTTACGAAGTTTCGATGTTACGAAGCTATTGCGATGTTAATAATTTGATAAATAAAAGAGTCTGTATCATGCACTCTAATGCTTTAACGAGGAAAAAGACTACAAAGCTGATATGCTGGTTTCTATTGTTAAATTATATCAATCTATTAATTATTTAGATAATATATATCCTGATCACATTTCCACTGAATATCGAACATGTTTCAAATTTCTTTCTTATGTGTTAACACAAGAGAATTATCAAATTTAGAAGTGAAAGCCACCTTACAATTTAAAATGATGTCCATAAGTGAACAACTAGGGTTTTAGAGCTAGACTTTCTGGTTTCAGAATTAAATGTTCTGATGCACAAGAGTGAAAAATAAATATATGTTAGTTAGTTAGTTACTTTTAAAAAGGCATCAGACTTATCCTTCATCCAAGTACATTATTATTTTGCCTTTTTCTCTTTTTTAACTTTATTTCTTTACCCAAATCTCTTAGAAGTACTGAAAATTAATGAGTCTGCTGTCAGGAAAAATACTGACAGTGGTTTGATTGAAGTGAGAAAAAGGAGTGCCTAGAGGCATCCCTTCTTGATTTTGCTTATTGTATTTAATAAGTTTGGTAAAAATAATTTTCAAGACATTTAATAATATAATTATTATAACAATATTTTTAATAATACAATTATCAACTATTGTGTACTATGAATTTGCACGAATATGAATGAACTATAATATAATAAATAATGTAGTTGAAGCTGATGATAAAAATGAAACTGAGTTCTGAAGAACTACCATTCAAGACCATTATAAGTTAGGATTACATATTAATACCTATTTTTTTCTGTTTCTAGGGTCTTGTTTCTTCGTCAACAAATAAAAAATCTTGAAGAACTGAAATCTCAAAATTCATTCATGGCTGACGAACCATAGTCATACTTCCTCATCTGATCTCTGGAAATGTGTTGGACGTTTGGCTGAGTCATTAGCTGTTCGGGAAAGTGTTTGATTCCCAAAATTATGATGATAGATATATTATTTATTAATTGGACACCAAATGACCTGTGTAAATAGTGAAAAATGAAATGAAGAGCTAATTATTAAATCTGTGTATAGACAATTATATTTTGTTATTGTAATGTTTGGGAAGAAAACAGTGTAAAAACTTCGATGAATGACTCATGAATTTTGTGTGTGGATTCAAACTGCTAAGAAGTGACAGCTCTCTTCATGAATTTTATGGAAGAGGTTGCACAACTGTCAAGAAGGACTATTACGGTTTATTATTTTAATTCTCACTGGCAATGCTGCTAGTTTTGTAAATAGTTACTACGTACATTTAGAAAACGGAGTAGGTGATGACCTTTATTGATTCTAAGATAAAAAATGTTTATATATTTAAATACACCATCGTTCTATTTAATTTGTCGATATAGGATGCATTTACAATGTGTTTATATGTAAATTTAGAGGTAAGTTAGTGAGAAAGTAAGAATGAATAAAAAGAAAAATGGTATACATGAATTTGATCTATCTAAAAGCTTTTATAAAACTTGACTATTGTTATCTATAGTTGAACTCTATCCCTCCTATTGTTAGTTCTCTAAACCGATAACATACCTATTATGGAGTAGGTATTGTTTCAGAATTTCATTCTTCTCAGATTATCAATCACATTCTAATTTTTTTACAATGAATTTTTAAAAATTTTGTTTTGTGGATGGAGGGTTATAAACCGCTGTGTCATCTGTGTTAATGTTCTACATTTGTATAGAGAGCGTATCCCTTATAATAAATTTTTATTTTATAAAACTAGTCTTTTTTATTGTTTTAAGTATTTATGTAATTTTGTTGCCCGACCTCACTTCATTGTTGGTAAGTTTACTGTAAATCGGCATTTTAGATTTACAGAAATTATATACATACAATCTCTTTTAATCTATTCTAATTTTGTATTTAATATTATGATGTTACAAATTGCCAAAGTTAAACATGTAGGGAATAATAAAATAGAAAATAAAATTTTGATATATTAACATAATTCCCTTTTTATTATGTAGAACCCTGTGGATAATATAAAGCCCGGATATAAGGATAAAGATGAAATTCTAATTTATCTATAATTCATAAACAAACTTTACTTTAGTAATGTAATTGATTTATGTTTTACAAATATATTTTACATCATGGAGGAATATAATCGATCTACAACTAAGTTTATGTACATTATATAAAAAAAGTAAAATAATTTTTTAAAGCCCTCATGTTATTTTTCAACAATGAAGCTGGAACTCACAATTTTTGGTCTACTTTTTAAAAATTAAATTAAAAAGAAGAAAAAGGTTTATATATATTTGTTTTTTATTTCAAAGTATCCAACATTTTTGCATCAAGAGATCCAGATTGCCTAGTAGGAGGACAGTACCTAAATAATGTATTAGAACCTCTGTTGAGTTGATTGATCTGCTGAAGATATCTCCAAGTATGTGTCCAATTATCAAATATTGGCATTTGTGGAGGTTGTCCAGCTGCAAGGCTAAAATATACAAATAAACATTATTTTTCCGAGTCATTTTAAAATTGATTATTCTAAAGATTTTTTATGAAAACTATGCTTTATGTAATGAGAAGTAGTAATTTATTTCACTTTCACAAACAACAAATGCATTCACTTCGGCCATTGGCAATAATTAGCATTTTACCATTTTTATTAACATTTATCGACCTATTTATCATCCTCATAATTTTAAAATAACATTTAAATTATAAACCTTTTATAATTTTAAAATAACAATCAAGAAATAGATCAATCGCTAAATACTTTTTACTTAAGTAATGTAAAGCAAGCGGACCCCTCACATTGATGTGCAGCAGAGATGGTAGATTAATGAGAATATATATATTTCACTTATATATACATATCAACATTCAACGTACGTAAATGATTAATAATAAAATGAAGTTTAGTGAACCAAAGATTAGATACCGATACCACCAATCTCTGTCAGTACAGATCTCCCTCCTGCCACTGTCCAAACAGCTCTGCCAGATCAGCCTTAATATAATCTTCTCACCTTCGCTTCAGTTCACCATCCCTGGACACTTTCCAGTCAGCACACAGAGCATATTAAAGATTAGAAGACCAGACAAAACTGACTAATCAGTTGTCTAGTCTTCAAACCGTGCTAGCCCTGATTATGACTGACATAATTGCTGGGTCGAAACATCAGCAAACTTAATAAACATGATTATTGACTGCCGTATCCCTACTATTTTTCTTCTTTACAATTTCAACAGTCAACTATAAAACATATCTGTCTCTAAATAATATACGTCAGATTATCAGAGATTTTGGATCGGAGGACAAAATCTGGCGTGTTGGACCCATCACATCGACAGTCTGCTGGGTTCCATCGTGGGAGACACCTGGAAGTGATGAAGATACAGAAATTCCCGATACCTACTTCTGATGATGTGGAGGATGCTTTATGATGATGAGCTTAATAACAACTAAGCTGCTACAGGTGAAGATGAGATTCCACCTGAGCTCCAGAAGCATGGCGGCGAAGAGTTCTTGAGAGCCCTCTACGATGTCACCCTGGATCAAGGAGAAAATGCCGGAACAGTGGAAGAAAAGCATCATCTATACACTTCACTAGTATGACAACATCCTGGAATGCTCCAACTACCGGATTATTTTGCTTCTACAGTGTGCCTACAAGGTTCTTTCTATCGTCATTTATAAGAAATTTCTCCCACTTGCAGAGAGAGAAATTGAAAAATATCAGGCAGGTTTCAGAGGTGGGAGATCTACAATTGTTGTCGCAAAGTGATCAAAAGTTGGGTCTGTGGATGATACTCGAGATGTCCCCAGGAGTATTGGATGACTACTCACCATCTCTTTATTGACTTATGACAGCATTAAAAGGCCTAAGTTATATGCAGCTTTGAGAGAGCTTGGTGTCCATTTGAAATTAGTCCGACTGATCAAGATGACCATGGATGATACAACGTGTACTGTGAGAATTCAGTCAGATCTCACACCATTGTTCTATCAACCAAAGGTGTTAGAGAATTTCCTACCCGATTTGGGCATACAGACCTCTGACACCATCTTGAACTGGATCGTTCAGGTACTTGGTATTGCTGGTGACTAGGACATTGTCGCAAGATCTTTTGACTCCTTAAAAGAAGATTTTCTCCAATTGGTGGAAGATAGTGGATGTGTGTGAACCAAGTGAAGACAAAATATATGACAGCAGTGCATAGAGCAGACAGCCCGTGATGATGGACAAATTCATGTTCCAGAACATAGAAGTTACTCATTTGAAAGATAATTAATTTATGTCTACGAAGCTCAACTTTGAACAAAAAGAGAGAAAAATTATTTAACTTTTAGTCCAATATTAGAGGGGTTACAGCAAACAATTATTATATTTCTCATTACTTATAATAAATATTTTATCATATAAATTCATCTGATTTGTTTGTCTTATAGAACCTAATATCAGGTGTTTTAAGGATTAGCACACAATAATATAAAAATATTTTCCAAATTTAAATGGTAAACACAGTTAATGGTAAAAGTTGTATCTAAAAAAGAAAAATTGAGTTCTTTGATTATTTATATTTAAATAAAAAGCATGACTTGGACAGAATGCATTAGAGATCCTGAAGAAAACAAAATATTTATCTTCAGAAGTATGAAGAATAAAATTAATTTCTTATACTAAATTTAAAAAAAAATAATCATTTCCAAATTAATTGAAATTAATCTTATCAGAGATTTATTTATATAAAATTTAAACTTCATACTTATATTATCTGACTTACCCACAGTTGTTGACAGTATAACAAGCAGAAACAACAGTGAAAGGGTATGTAAGTGTATGACATATGAACTGAAAAAAAAGAAGTGATATATTACTTATTATATTTATAAAATATATTTATCCCTCACCCCCAAAAAATCTTTATTATTTATCTTTGACTTCTATTAGTAACAAAATTATTATACCCAAGTAGATTGAATCATAGATTGATTTTTCAAGAGCTATAAAATAACAGTTTTCCAAGAATTTGCTTTAACTTTTTGTTTTGTTTTTTAGTTCTGTAATGTAGAACAAGAATCATTCATTAAGATCATAACAGTCTTTTCAGTAGAACAACATGCTACTGAAAATAGAACAATCTTTTGATTTGCAATTGATATAAAGGAAATGAAATATATGGTCCATGTAAACAATAATTTTTAGGGAGAAAAAAAGAAAAATTTGAGGAGCAGAAGATGACTTGAATGAAGTATGATAGAATTCGGTACTTTACACCTTTTTAACACGGGATTAAAAATCAAACGAATATTTTTAAATTCTCAATAACTGAGCTCTTCTTATATTTAATTAATTTGTTAAAATGAATGAAAATATCAATGTTTTCTTTTTCCTTTTTATTTGGGAGGTTTAAGTAAATTATTAAAATAATGGCAATAAAAAACTTACATTATAATTTAATGTTACATTTCATCTTATCATTGCTGACATTTTGGGACTTTTCCTCATCCTCAGGGCTATTTTTTAATTACAAATTTGAATTCCTGCCATCTGTGCTCCATTTGTTGTATAATTGATATAATTTTTTTTAATATATTTTATTTATTAATGGGGCTACATATTACCAACCCAACAATTGGTCAGCTTTACCAATCTTGGTATGAATCTTGATAAAGCTGATCAATTATTGGGTTGGGAAGTCCCATGAAATACATTAATAAATAAAATATATAAAAAAATTGACATCAATTATATAACAAATGGAGCATAGATGGCAAGAATTCAAATTTGTAATGATAAAATAGCACTGAGGATGGGAAAAGATCAGGAACATCAGCAATGATGAGAAGAAATATAACATTAGATTATAATGGAAATTTTTTATTGCCAAACTTATAATTCAGACAATATGTTTTTTTCAGTTTTTGCTGAGGAGAAAAAAGGTTTCTGATTTATTTTTTAGTGTAGATTTAAAAAAAAAATAATAATAATTTTTTTACTTTTATCTTAAAACTAATAATACCAACAAACTAATGTCGATCTATTTGGCTACAAATGAAGTAAGTCTTTCAATTAATTTATAGATTTCAGTAAAATATAAACAATACTTTTACCTGAATTGAAGCACTGCTTAAAGATTTTATTTCTGGGTCATGGATGAGATAATTGTTAATACCATAAATAACAAAACTAGACAAAAGTAATGTTATTATTTCTCCCAGCCATCGAGGAACTAAACCAATAAAAAAACCACGTATTCCTTCATTCCTATATACTTCAGCAATAGAACCAAAGAAACCACTAAAAAGAAAAACACATGATAGTAATCTTTGTTATGTACACATATATTAGTTTATGTAATGCATGAGCTATATATATATATATATACACACACTGTTGGGAAAAATTAAAGCACTACTACAATATTTGAAAAAAATCAAAATAGTTACCTACAGTTTCAATTTTATTTATATATTGGTGTTTTTAGGGGATTTCAGGGGGAATATAAATAAACCATAAATAATGCTTTGATTATTATTACTCTTGAGGATTATTTTACACTTGATTTCCACAGAGAGTAGAATTAGAGCATTAGACTGATACTATTCTTCCCCCATAAATTTGTTCTCATTAGTTCTACCTCATCAGCTTAGTTTGGGACATAGTTTTTTTTTTCTTTCAAAGGCCGAAGAAGTAAATTATTAAAGTGAGTTTGATAGTATTAGGACTGTAAAATTAATAGAGGAAGCATACATCATGGTACATATCCACCACATAAATATCGGAAGAGCTCTTATCGTTTTAGAGAGTCTGGAAAAAACTCTACAAGAGGACAGGGCCAGCCAAGATGTATAGAAGCAATAAATTAGAGGTATATCTGTACCTCCTTGGTATATTTGTATAGCCTATCTTATGGATAGGCTATACAAAACTACAGTATCACCAGAAATTAAATTATAAATCTCATAAATAAAGTCTGAACTTTGTTAATTTTCATCAGGACTGTTAAAAGGAGGCACAACGAATATAACCTTAGGCCTCGACATCCTGTGTGTATCTCTCTGCTTACCACAACAGACAAAAATAGAAACTTTTATATTTCGGCTAAAACACCAAAAAAACTTTTGTGGTTGTATTTAGAGTTTTATATAGAAATTATCTATATATAATTTTCAATTTTCCACATTAATATGACAATAATTCATTAAGGAATATAAATTATCATTAAATTGATCCCTAATTACAACTCAAAAGTGCAAAATTTCCACTTGAATTGCCAAGAAAATAGTTCTTGAGTAAAAATTGCAGTTTTCTAAAAACAATTTTCCTGGTACTATCAGCATTGTAATCAATGCTTCTATTGTCCAATCACTTTTACAATACTGATATAATTAACATGTTAGCTGTGGTTGAGGTCCGTGGCATCAGATATAATGATTATTTACATTTGTATTTATTTTTAAATCTATCCAACTTCCATTATAATATTTTTAAAAATGACCATTTTAGAGACTTCGTAAGATAGGCAAAATTCGAAACAATCCCAGCCGAAGTCGAGACGAATATCGGAACCCGGGGACCGTAGTCGCAGCTAGCATGTTAATTTATATTTGAACTTAATTATTTCCATCACTTTTCTAGGAAATTTATATGATTTCGGATAAAGGATCGTGTTTTAATAACATTTACTTTGAAAGGACCTTCCTTCCTTATGTCGTCGGTACCATGTTAAAATAATAAATGTGAATTTACCCAATGTAAACTTTTGATTATGATTACTCATTACTAAAACATGTACATATCCTACAAAGCTGGAAATTCTTAAAAATGGTATTACTAATTCCAGTCTTCCAATCGCCCTTCAGATTTGGTATTTTACCACAAGGTCCCCCTCCGAGTACTATAGTAAACAAATGAAATTGAAAAATGTAATTTTTCACATTTGTTACTGATTACTGTTTTGTTTATATAATTTTCTATCATACAACCTCATATCAGATTGTTTCTAATCAAATATTTTTACTTTTACTACTAAACCTATACCTAACATACATTTTATGTTTACTTTAACTTTATATAATAAAATCTTTTCCCAGTGGAGATAATATGATAGTATGATCCCCTTGCCTTTTCTGAAAACAAAATAATTAGAAAATTGTAATTATGGAGATCTGTCCATTTTTTTTATTACAAAACGATACCAGTAATACAAACAAGTAGAACTGAAAAAAAAAAGTTAAAATAGAATGGGTTTGAATGTTAAACATTTTTATAGAATAGGAGCAACTGATGGTTTCATTTAATGAAAGGATTTCCAGCTAATAACCATATTAAATTCTAGATAACCCTCATCTGAACACACAACCAGTCATTCAATTGAAAGTCATTCCTTAATGAATGAAAATTCAAATGTTAGTGGATTAATTGAATATTTCATTTAATGAGAAAACTGATGATGTGCATAGTTGTGTTTTGAAAATGAATGTCAAAGTAATCAACTAGTTCAGTTGATGTTAATAGTATGGGGAAAAAATGTAAGTAGTTTTCTTAGTTACTAATTGGGAAAATTATTCAGCACTTACGGTGAGCATGCTCTGTCAGAAACAAAATTTAGATACTGGTTTCAGCGCTTCAAAAATAATTATTTTAACCTTGGAGACAAAGGACGCTCTGGCGTAGCGAAAAAGTTTGAAGACAAAGAATTGGAGAAAATACTTAATACAAAGATGCTATCTGAACTTGGAAAATAATCAGTAGATGACACAATGGTTTTGAAATGGCCAAACTCAGAGACGTTGAACGTTTTCTTACGGGAGAACTGCTGCTCCACCAGAAAAAAGGGAAGTTTTTGACATTGTACTACTATGACTAGCAATGAAAAATGGATTCAGTACAATAATCATGAGCTTAGCCCTTCCAATTATCACTTATTTCATACAATGGCACATGACCTGGCTGAGCAGAACTTCTTTTCTCATGAAGATACAAAAAAAAAAAAAAGGGTAGATTTGTGGGTTGTCTCAAGTTTAATTTCTTTTGTTTTATTAAGTTTTCTTTTTCTTTACTTTTGTTATAATTTTTTTATTGTTTTTGCTATGAATGAGACCTGCACAGCTCTAATACTCTGTGCCCTTAATTGAGGCAAAATGTATTATTTCTCAATGAAATTTATTTAAAAAAAAAAAAAAAGATTTGTGGGTAGCCTGAAAAAAAGTCGCTTTACCGATGTGGAATTCGTACAAGGAAGAGAAAAGTAGTGGCAAGTGACGGGCTATACTTTGAATGACATGTCAGTTATTTTAAAGAATCCAATAATTTTCACAAATAACAGCAAGAACTTATTCAAGGTTTTTAATGAAGAACCAATGGGTGAGGAGTTATAGAAGTTACCATTTCTGTTTAATTTGGAAAAAATAATTGTCTTCATTAGTAGGGAAAATCATGTGGACGGAGCAAGTGGCCAAGACTAGTCTGTGGGTGGAGCCTGGGGACACAGCGGCCAAGTGGGCCTCACTAATTCTGAGAAAATATAAAGAATATATAATTCTCTTCGAAACAGTGTTATTTCTATACAAATTTCAATTTCTGTATCCATTTTATCTTTTATATACTAAGCCTTGTTATACAACACGTTATCAAGCAATTGTATGATTTCCACTCTTAGTTTTACTTGCTGTTAGAAAAATTACAAGCTGGTCATGGGTGGGAATGGTTTAAATAATACCCCCACAACAAGATACAGTGTGGGGGAGAGGGACCCAAAGCGTTCAGGAGACATCAAGAAAAGGAAAGAATTAATTCTTGAGGTGATATGTGGAAAGAAAAAAAAGAAAGAAAGAAAGTAAATTTTATTCTGAGACATTTAAACCCCTCAGGATAAATATAATGAACAACAAAATGACAATTGTCTCGCAATTATTCATAATTAAATGACAATTAAAAATAAATAAATTTACAAAGTTGTTTAACTTTAATATTTCAATAAAGAAAAGACACTGTAGTAAATATATGATCATGAAGTAGGCATATGAATATAAAGATAAATACATACGAGTGAGTTCACTTATTTGTACAAATAAGCAATAAGCAATATGCAATATGCAACATACACAGATAAGATGTCTGCAAGATATCAGTATAATGTAGCTGACATCTCTAAAGTACAAAATAACTTTATTTTTACAAATATTTGGAAGATTGATTACTGAGGAGATGGAAAAATAAATTGTGTTCAAATGAGGTCAACGATGAGGATTTCCGTATAGAGATTGGCAGGGAATTCCAAAAAGAGGTAGCATGTATGATGAAGGATTTTTTAAAGGAAATAGTTCCATGTGAAGGAATAAACAGATTTAAAATCTGGGTTGAAATGATCTGAATTGAAAGAAATGATCTTGTGTTGAAAGAATGAACAGAGGCACAAGGAGTAAAGAAATCAAGAAGGTAAGAACGTTTTTTGGTTCAGTACATAAAGGTTCAGAAAAGGAATACACCTAAGAAATATTCCCGTCAGAAAACTGGATAGAGCCACTAAGAGAAGGTAAGAAGGTTTTTTGGTTATAAAGGTTCAGTAAAGGAATATACTTAAGAAATATTCCCGTCAGAAAACTGGATAGAGCCACTTCAACTCGGCATAGCAACTGGAGACATGGGGGCGCCTAGGAACTCCAAGAGTAAATCTAATGAAACAATTCATTAGTCTCTTTAATCTGATCTCAAGCTCATCAGACAGTCCACCGTATTCAAGACAGCCATAATCTAAGTGGAAGAAAATGAGAGAGGAAACTAGGATCTGACGGATTTTATGGAGCATAGAGTCACGGAATCTCAGAAACTGTTTGAGGTCAGCAATGGAGTGGAGGGAGCTTGCGCATTTCAAATGAGGGATAACATGAGTAATACAAGCTTTCATGCTCTAGAAATCCTGACCATTGAGCAAGAGTGGGTTTGAGCTCTTAACAGAGCCGTAACTAAGGAACACTGTACCCCAATGAAAGCATTTTTTCCTGTGAACCCTTTCCTTTCCAAAAAAAAAAAAAAAAATAATCAATTTTAAACTTATTCTATAGGAACAACTTAATCTCGATACATTTTACAAACTCACTCTTAAACATGAAAATCAGAGCTTAATTAAGCTTACAATAAATAAGTTAACTATACTTAAAACATTTTTTTTTTTTATTATGTTAAAATGACACCTTATCGATTTCAATCTTTCATTAGACCTTCATCAGACTAATGTATGATGGTCCTCTCTCCTGCTTGTCAGAAGAATTCAATAAAAAGACTTCCTCCTGCATATAATTTTTTTTTTTCCCCTTGCTACCAGTTTCGGTCTTCATTAGGCTAATTTATGATGGTCCAACTCTACTGCTAGTCAGATGAGAACCCATTTTGAACTACCACACTTCTTTTATTATTTATCCCACTATTTAATAATATGCCTTATGCCAATCAAATAATACATAAACAAGGTATTCTGTTAAATAAAATAATAACTACTAATTAAATATGAGAAAAATTTAATCTTACCTATAAATTTCTTCACCACCCACAAACTGGGCCATAGATCGGGAAGAAATAACATAGAAAGGTTGACTAACTACTATTGTAACAGACTTTCCAACAAAATCTTTCATGAGAGTTTGCTTGAAATGAACCCATCTAAAAATGAATCAATTCAAATAAAATGCATTTAGTCTTATAACAAACATTTCAGAGCTAAATATAAATTGTAAAAATATAAGGTGAATAACCCTTCTGAGAAAATACCAAAATATATGCACACTATAAAAATAAAACAATTAAAATAACTTTAATATTTCATTCTTCATTCATGTGGTTTTATTAAATGAAAATTCACTCAATAATGCTAAATTTTCACCCTTAAATATCTTGATAGATAACTACAAATGTTAAAATTAAATTGAGTAAGAAGATGGTCCAGGGTGGCGGTCACAAAAAGATTAAAATAGTTACTAACTATTAAAACTATTTTTTTTTTTTAAGTAAGTCTCAATTTTTAAGTTTCTATTCATTTTACATTTTTTTGTTTATTTCACATTATTATTATTATTATTCCATTATTATTTTATTTAAAATGGTGTAGAGAGGGTTGACCCTGATTATAATATGAGAACGAGTAGGTCGGGAGGTGTGGTCAAATAAATACTATAAATTAAAATACTATACAACAAAATATAAAATATTATACAATAAAATATAAAATACTATTTTAATATATAGTATTTATTTGACTGCACAATGGTAAAAATTATTGCAGATTTTTGGTAATAGGGAAAGATTGAATTAATAAGGAGGATGGATAATAAACGCAATAATGGACATCATTTATCATACAGATCTCAAGGAAAGATTGAAAGAAAAACAAAAAATAATAAAAAATAAATCATAATCGACAGAGAGTGTGAAATAAACAAACAAATGTGAAATAAAAACTTCAAAATAGAGACTTACATAAAAAAAAAAAAAAAATTGTTAGTAATTTAATATTTTTATGACTGCAATCCCGGACCATCTTCTTACCAATCAACCATCAAGTATTCATTAAAATTAAATTATATTTTATCTATTTCATGCTAAACTTTTAATCATACTTTCTTGATAATTAATCATTAAAAGTATATAAAAAAATTATAATTATGCATTTCGTAACTATTTAGTCAAGTTCCACCCTTTTAAGAAACTTAAATTGACTGTTATCTGCAAACCTTACTTCCGGCCTAAAAAACTCATTTCTCAGATATTCTAATATCTTCCAGTTTATTGTACATGAGTTCTGAAGCTTATTCCATGAATTTGCGGCTCAGAATGGCCATTGTGCTAGGTACTGTGGGTATGTGTTTATGTGAAGTCATCACTTCATTTTTCTCACTTCTATTCCTGTACTGATATCGTTGAAGAAGGAAATGAAATGAAATGATATAGCCTTTATTTATTCAAAGATTAATACATAATACGATCGAATAAGTGTATTCAAATGTGAAAAGAAATTATTAATTGAATATTTTTCTCTTTCTTTTTTCCTTCTTCCTCCGGTGCATAGGCCTGTCCCTTTCAGAAGTAAAAGACAGTGCTTTTCCAGGGTGCCTAGCCCTATTGGGATGCGAGTTCTGTCCACTTCTCCTAGTAGACATCCCACCAGTCTCTAGCAGCTCTCCACCAGAGCAGTCCTGCCAACTGCTTAAACACGTCACTCCACTTTTTCTTTTGACACCCTCTTCTTCTATTCAGAGCATATGGAGTCCAGTATGTGACCATTCTTGACCATCTATTATCTTTGTCCCGAAGGAGATGCCCAGACCATTTCTATTTGCTTAATCATATCCGCCTAAGGGTATCTGTGAGTCCTGTTTCTTTGTGAGAGCAAAATTTATTCCAGCCAAGTGCCATTCTCGGAATTATTATTATAAAATGAATATTTTATTTTTATATTGAATATTATATTTCTTATAATAATATTATTATAAAATGAAAGAAAATTATTTTTTCATAGGTTCATTCTCTTATTCTCCTCTGGACCTCCTTTGCTCCTCTCTCTCTGCGAATGATACTAACTGGCCTAAGTAGATATACTCCTCTACATATTGCAAACTGTGGTTGTTTACTTTACATTTTTCTTTTCCCATATTTGTCATTCATTTTAGTCTTCTGATAGTTGGGGTAAAGACAAATTTCTCCACACAGTTTTAAAAGATGCTTGATCATTTCCAGCAGTTGTATGTTTATGGCAAAAAGCACGATGTCATCTGCAAAACATAAGTTGCTTAATCATTTGCCATTTATTTTAATTCCTGTGTTTTCCCATCCTGAAGAAGGGACGTTTTTTAAAAATGTAATTGTATCTGAACAATAGCATCTTTTTACATGGAAAAAGTTTATTTTCTAGATATATTATTTATCTTCCATGCCAATATTTAAATTGATTTTATATTAAATATACACAAATATTAAATTTATACAATACTACCAGTTAAATTTTAAATGTAAATATGTATACTGCATAAATTTTAGTTAACGGCATTAATTTAATATACTGATTACTCAACTAAAGCAATTGTCTAAAAACTGATGTTAACTTGTCAAATAGTTATAAACTTTCATCACTGCCTTAGGAAATAATCAATAATAAATATCTCATTTATACTTAATATAAATGAACTGAAGCCACTTTCAAAGTTAACAGCTCAATTATTGATCTAACTCTGACAATTTATTTGTCCAAAATTATCACATTTACTCGGAATATAAGTAACCTCAAATACTTTATTGACAGATAACTTTAAGTTGTACATGTAACCACAGGCAACCGGAAATAATTGAAAAATGGACTTAGGCCACTTTCAAAATAAACGGTTCATATTGACAGTACATTTTTAAAATTTTCAGTCTTTTGCATCCTTGTTTCATTACTTTTTCAATAGCAATAAATTAATTTTCTAAATAACTTTATTCAAGCTACTAAGAAAATGCAGGCAAAGCAAAAAAAAACAGACCGCTGCTTCTAACCTAGCATGTGTTACAGGTAAAAATTTAATAGAAATATCTCTACTTCAATATAACCAAGCAGCCTTGAGTAAACCAAGTAGTTTATTTTAAATTTGTTATATATTTTATTTAAAATAGTTTTATCTATATTTTTTTTAACAGGAAAGATATGGACCGGGAGTCGGCCAGAGAAAATATCAAATAATTGTTCATTATCTATTCAATGGCGACACTTTAACCCACATTATAGTAGTCCATCCGGGAGAAATAGTGACACGAGCCAAAAAGATAAACAAAATTGTTGTTTGTATGATGAAGACCTCCTTTAGCCTGATGAAGAACTCCAATGTGGGCTGTAATGCCAGCATTGAATAAATAATTAACAATTACTTGATGTTTTGATAGATTCCATGACCATCTCTTGCTTGATTTATCATGCAGTCAACAATCAACCCATTAAATTTATTTTAATTCAAACCATGACTTTTCTTATTTATACGTGATTATTGATTTACATCATTTTTATATGTTAAATTAAAATAACCATTATATAAATAGGCAAAGACAAAACAGTTTAGTACATTTTTATCCTCTAATTCTCAACTGATTTACTTTTTTTGTTTAGTAGCTAAACAAACGAGCTTCAGTGTTATCAATAAAAAAAAAAAAAAATTGGAAATAGTGTATATAAATAAAAATGTAAATGTTATTTTTTTTCAAACTTACTAATCTCAAAAAGTTCTTCACTGATTGCTTTGAAATTTTAATACAACATTGCAATAAAATTCAGGATTATTTTGTATACATTTCATTACTATCTGGACTTTCATAACGAAATGGTGAACAAAAAATATGTGTCACTATAGACTATAGCTGTAACAATTTAAATGAAACTTGGTTAAAATCATTTCCATAAAGCTCTTTTAATTTAAATACACAGCATACTTTCCCAAAAAGAGGCATGAAAAAATTAATGATGGATTCAGAATTTTATTAGTGAATAACTCAAAAAGTACACATTTTTTGGTTCATTAAACCTATGAGTATTTGAAAGCTTCCTGGATTCCCTATAAAAAACTTGTTACGCTATCGCACATTTTGTGATTTCCGAAATAAAATGGAATGCCAAGGATAAATTTAAAGGCAATCAACTTTTTTTTTCGATTGCTACAAAAATTCATATTTGAGAGGGTTTTTCCAGATGCGAAATACAAATTTCAATCTGACATATCACTATAGTATTCAACCCAAACATGTGGATCATATTCAGGGCGTGGTTTGAGCACTGAGTGTGTTCAGTATTTGGTTGGTCAGTACTTGAACACCCTCAGTGCTCAAACCATGTCCGGAAGATGACCCAAATGTTTGGGTTGAAACGTTGGCATAAATAAAAAATAAAAAAATAAAAAATACTGTGTCCTGAATATTTATCATCCACTTACTATCAAATTATAATAAATTCAAAACCACATGAATCTCTATGGGGCTATCAAGAAACCTCAATATATATATATACAAATTTTAATTTTTATATCGCCGTAATCTATACAATTAAATATTAAACAATAGCAATGATAGCATTTATGAAAACCGCATATGTAGATGTACATAACATTGTTGGAGTCCATATTATGGAAGGCTGTTCTAATATTTCGGGCCAGCTCATATTCCTTTGGTTCCTGCATTACAACTATTACCCATTACGATCTCTTATTTCTCCTTTAGTTAAGTATCAAATTCTTTTATGTTTTATAATTAACTATTTTTTTTATCAGAGATTAATGTAAAATGGTTAATTATTTCAAATAAAAAAATTAAAGGTACTTTAGAGGAAACTAATATTGAAAATTAGCCATTTAAGTCCTGTTAGAGAACATCAATCAGAATAAAACCTTTATACCATTATATTATAAAACATTATATTAATAACTGCTTAATTCTGTACTGATATAATGAATTTAATCTAAATCGTTATAGCCATTTTTGAGAAAATCGTAAAAATGACTTAAATCGATGATGTAAAGTGACACTTCCGGTTAGTCGATTTTGACGAAAAAGTTGCTGTAACATCCCAGGCATATACAAACCTTGAATATGCAATTTCTAAAAAGTTACTTGACGATTTTTCAGAATAAACAGCTGATAGATAATTAATTATTTAAATATACCAGATCTAGAGTTATTGAACTACAGTAAATGTATTTAAGGTTATAAATATGTCCATCAAATATTTTTATACTTCACTTCTTCTTTCAAATAAGTCCAATGAAATAGTATTTTAAAAAATGTCATTCCCTTGATACAGTGGATTTTAAATACTTTTTTCAAACTTAAAAATAATTTGAAAGATTACGTTTAGTAAGAAAATTTCATTTAATTTCCTTTGAAACATGTGATTTATGTTAAATAATGTTAGTTTTCAGAAATTATTATTTGTTTTTTTCATCATACCGTCCGTATACCATCTGACTATTATTTCCGGAGATTCATTTTCGACCTGGATAAGCATTTTTCTTTATTTTTCTTCATTATTCAATTATCAAATTCCTTCAAAAGTTATATTTAGCATTTTTTTTTGTAACTCCTAACAATGAGAGATAGTTAATTATTCAAAATAAATCACATTAAAGGTACTTTAGAGGAAGAAATATTGCCATTGGCATTTAAGTCCTGTAAAGTGACATCAATGGGAATAAGACTTAAGTGATTTTAAAGACCACTTAATTATACAATGATACATCGAGTTTAATCAAAATTGTTAGAGCCGTTTTTGAGAAAATTGTAAAAATGTGTAGTACCGTAGATATAAAGTAGCAATTCCAGTTAGCCGATTTACATGAAAACGTTGCTATAACATTATACCTATATACCAATCTTAAATACGTAAAATAGTTTCGTACGAATTTTAGTTTTTGAGCTAGACTATTCACACAAACGCACGCACACACACAAACACACACACAGAATTTTGTGGGACTTAGTTATTTGGATTCAGGGACCTCAAAACATGTATTTCCGTTGAAAACTCAGATTCGAAAATTTTCAAGGTCGCAATACTTTCTCTTACTATATATTACATATATAGGAAAGTGAAAGTAAAAAATACTAATGAGAATAAAAAAGGTACCTCTGTTCATTGGAAATTTCATCTTCTGACGGATTAAAATCTCCATCAATTTTCATTCGTTTTGTCACATTTTCAGCAGCAAAAGTACTAATAATTTGACCAGTGATTTTCGGAACATATCCCCTGAAGCATCCCAAAATGCCATCTGTATTTCTGATGTAGCCCACTAAAAAAAAAAAAAAAATCATAGATTATTATTAAACCACATATTTTATTAGTTGTGAAATGAATGGTTCATAACTTTTTTTGCAAAGGAAGCTACAAAAATGTAATGAAATATTTATCGAATATTATGAAATCATCAAACTAAAGAATACAAAGAGGAAAAAGACATTTATCAATTTCCTTTTTATTAGTTCCTAGGAAAAATTAAACTCTCCAAAATTCCACTGGTTTATAAGAATATCTAGCCACTTGGCTCACCTTCAAGTTCCATTTATTAAAAGAGACAAGGCATGGATAATTGCAAATCAATAACCAACAAAGGAAATTTGTTTATACATATGAGTATTGCAGGCAGTCATACTCTTTCTCACAAAGATAGTTTAGGTTTTCATAACTGATTTACAACTTTTTTTTATCTTCTCAGTTACTTTAATTATGTACCTACAAAACAATATGAGTTTGATTGAGCATTATTTTAATAAAAGCCCATTTGTCAAAAATCCAAGTCATAGAAATCGAACCAGTACCTTTGCATAATTCCAATTAGCTATAAGTTAGAGTAGTCTGTCAATGGATACCGTCCAGAGTCCTCTTCTCTGTAAAGTAGTAAAACTACGCAATAGTGATCATCACTCTCAGGTAGGGAACCGAATATGAAGGCAAGGGTTTTCAGATGGCTCTAGGCATCACAGGTGAACCTTTGCTAGGAATCCCACACAAAGACAAACTGGACAAAACTTTTGTCTACAACAAAATACATATTTAAAGGAATTAAAACTTGCCACCTGGAAGGTTCTATCAGACTGGTGTTTTGCAAAAGATTCTTACACAACTGGAGCTGTACATTATAGACATTGTTACTGTTCAGAAGATAGGATGGATAGCCCCAGGATCAAGTGGCCTGTCTGCAGAACCGTAAAACATGGAGGTGAGGAACTAGTGGGATTTCTGCATAACCTCACGGCAGAGGGAAGAACTGTTAAGTAAATGGTTTAAAACTGTTACTGTTACTGAACTATTCTTACAGTTACTCTGAAACTGTTAAGTTCAATATACATAAAAAATAGATTTACTAGAATGCCCTAATTACCGTAGAATATCGCTGCTTTCGAGCAACTAATAAGATCTCTAGAATTCAAGAGTCTTATACCTTATGCTCAAAGAGAAATAGGTCGCTATCAAGCAGGATGAAAGGAAAGCTCACATTACCAGAAAGGGTATGAGAATTCAGAATCAGCACCCATCTCCTATTTATAGATTTCAAGGTGGCATATGACAGCTTCTCAAGGGCGGAGCTCTATAAAAGAATGCATATAAGAGTTAGCGATCCCAATAAAACTAATTCATCTGGCCTACATGACAATGGAGAAGGAGAAGCACTATGTACGAGTTTAAGGATTAAGTCAGAGAAATCTCACCACAAAAGACTCAGACAAGGAGACTGCCTGGTGTACCTTCTCTTTAACTTCAGCCTGGAATGTACAGTATGGAGATCTAACATTCAAGTTGGTGGAACAGTATTCAGAAAACAGCATGCGAATTAACCTAACTCTGCTATCATCCTAGGCTTTGCAAACAGCAATTTTGTGATTGAGAGGACTTTTGGAGTGATGAGGGATGCCTTCCTAGACCTACAAAGAGAAACTGCAAGAACTGAACTAGCCACTAATGAAAAAAAGACAAAATACATGTTTATGAAACTGTTGAGTATATAGTAGCAGTATATTATAGTATATATTTATTATTATAGTATAGTATACATTTTTATAATTGATTCCTCTCAAAATTTATTATCTTCTTCTCAGAATCCGGTCTCATTTCTATCATATCATGTAGAAGCTAGAATCTCATCAAGATTTCCTATAATGTCCCGGCTCCCAAGTTCATTCCTAAAAAAATCATATGACGGGATCTAGGCTCATTGTCCTGTGAAAAACTAAACCCTTTCCTCGAACCACTAGTCCAATCCTTAAATCTCATCTAGTTCTATTCCTCCATTGATGAAATGGCGGAATGTTTTTCATCTAATCTACTCCTATTTCTAAATAAACACGTACCCTTAAAGACCACTATCTTCAGATGCCCTGCTGCTCCCTGGATTAATACTGAAATCAGAGAGTTGATAAAGAGAAGAGGCGCTGCAAGGAGACGTTTCAGACGAACACGTAATCCGGATGACTACTTCTCTTTTAAGACTCTTTGTAACCTTACCCAATCTTCCTTGCAGTGTGCTAAGGCACAATTCTTTCATACTTCCTTATCACAAGCCTTAGATTCTAAGTCCAGATGGAAAATCCTTAAAAACCTCTCTGTTGGAAAATCAAAAACCTGTACCTCCTACCCTGTCTCTTCAGATCAACTAAATTCCCACTTTGCCGATCCTGACTCATTACCACTTTCCTCTTGATACTGTATTCTTAAAACCTCCTTTGACCCATAAAATTTCTATTTTACCAGAAGACCTACTTTTCTCTGTCCTAAAATCTACCTACTATATAGGGTGTGATTGTATCTATCACTCTGAGAGGTGATCATAGACAAAATTTCCAACAAAAAGTCAATTTGATGCATGGGCCGATTCCAAACGGAAAAGGAGTTAAGACCAATTGGCTACGTTTATTATTAAATAAGAAGGAATTGTTCAAAAACTGCTCAAGATAATAAAATTTTAAGTACACCATTGTAAAGTGCTACTAGACTAAATTCTAGATTAAATTCACTAAGGTCAACAATAAAAGGGACTTTCAGGAGGTCTAATACAGCTGCTGTACAGAGATATGCTGCTCGTGAAAGGATAATGTGACTACAGCAGTACAGCGGTCGTATTAGACCTCCTGAAAATCTCTTTTATCATTTATCTTACTAAATTTAATCACTATTTTCTCAAAAAAAAATAATGTTGTTTACTTGATGATAGTGTACTTAGAATATTATCTTGAACGTTTTTTTTTTTTACCAATTTCTTCTTATTCAATACAAAAAAGTGACCAGAAAAAATTGGCCTTAACTTCTTTTCTGTTCGGAATCAGTCCGTGCATCAAATGGACTTTTTTGGTGGTAATTTTGTCTAGAATCACCCCCAGACTTTGGCCATTAGCAACTGAGGCACCCTATATATGGACAGTCATCCATCTATGTACTGATCACAGTAGACTGTGTTTGTAGTGTGACTGTGTGTTTTTAAGTTTGTGGATTTCCGAAATATACTAAATTTACCTATAATTTTAATAAAGATATATTTCATATTCATATAGTTTTTGAACTAGTAAGAATTACAGCTGAAAATAAAACGTCACTATAATCTGTCATTAATAAACTTTAATCAATAACAATTAAACACTATTTTTCATTTTAAAAAAAAATTAGTTAAATTACCATATTTGAAAATGTTAGGAAGGGCCCTTGTTGGTTTTCCAAACACAGTCCTACTTGGGTAAGATGGCATTGGTTCATGCCCAATCTAAAAAAGAAAGAAAGGAAAGTTTTTCAAGCTTTTTATTTTTACAAAAGATAACTAATATATAAATTGCTCCATAAAAAAGTGGTGCAGTAAAAAAATCTATTTATATTTTTCTGTCTAATTAAGTGTTTTTAAATATTGAGTGCCAGGTAATAGTTGAAATGACAGCAAATTGAGAATAATGAATTTATTTAAAATGGAAAAAACAAAACAAAAAACAAGACAGTAAATATGAACACTACATAATTTTTTTATGAATGACTGCTTTAAGGTAATCTTGAATAATCCAACAGCCCTATAATGTTGACATGACACAAAAGAAAAAAATCTTTCATTAATTCCTGAACTTGTAAATGGAAACTCTCTGATTGAATAACTAATATTACTTTGAGGATCAAATGAACCATTTCAGGCAAAAAATAAATAATGGAATAAAATAATGAATCATTTACGATAAACAAATCTTATTAAGGTTATTCATATTATTTTAAAAGAGAACACAATTTTTGAATATGGCTCTTGGATCCAAACATTAAATAATAATTTTTAAATGTTTATAAACAAGTTTTAAATGTAAAATAAAAGGCTGTGAGATTAAAAAGGGGTTTGATAAATACATAATTATATATAGATTAAATACAATAATAAATCATTTAATAAAGGAATGATACAATAAATATAAATTTCGTAAACTATTTTCCATAGTTATACTAATTGAAATAAATACACATTAGAGAATTAAAAATTAATAAAACTCATAAGAGCACAATATAGTAAGGGCACTGGTAGAATCAAGACAAATATTTCAGAAATCTTAATCATAAAGAAAATAGTGAAGTGGGGAGATACTTTTTATTCAGTACTTTTTAATAAGGATGTACCAAGACGATTGTCACAAAAACAGACTCGCCAAGAACGTTTCTTTACTTTTGATGAAGCTTTGGTAATTACTAGAAGACCAAGTTCAGTAGATGAAAGTAAAAATAAAAAAGTAGAGAAAATGATAAATGGTACCAAAATCAAACTATGATAGAGTCCATCCAAGATGAGTTTGTCAGCGGGTAGAGAGGAAGAGAGAGAGGCACAGTGGCAAAACGTTTTCTTGCCAATACTCCACTCTTTTGTATTCTCTTTACTCATTCTGTCAGCTTGACTTTCAGTACAGTGCTATGACTTCAAACTGTGAAACATACTCCAACAAATCTTTTTAAAAGTAGAAATTTCTTTTGCCAATTTTCATTTACCAAGTCAAATAAATTGGTTACAGGGAAAACTATCCACTCTCAGACCAAAATCGTAATTATGAACATATTTAAATTCATAGAAGTAGAAATTTCCAGAAAAAGTAGAAAATAGAGGAGACATAGTAACCGAAACCGCTGGCATTCTAGAAAGATGGAAAAGGCAATATGGCACGACATTTGCAAAGCAACAGCAAGCTCTGAACAATCGATTCCCAATCCAGGTGATCAAGACTAGGATTTAGAAATAATATCGGCAGAAGAAGTTGAACCAGCCACAGAGATACTCAAGCTTGGGAAAGCAACAGGAAGAGACAATATCTCGCGAGGGGTTCATTAAGTATGACGGAAGGGAGATAATTAAAGCTGTGCAGAACTTTTTCCAGAAAATTTAAGAGGAAATGAAAATTCCTAAAGAATGGGAATATAATATTATTAAACCCATCAACAAGAAGGAAGCAGAAGCGAGTGTGGTAACTACAAACCAATAAGTCAATATGTATCTCCCAGGAAGTACATATAACATATAACACGATTTTGGAAAAGAAACTGAGACCATTAGTCGAGGAAAATCTGGAAGCCAAACACAAACAGATGACAAATTTGATCAAAAGTTACTGTGCCATCTTTATTTAATATGCTCCATGCATCTTTTCTTCATCTTCTAACTCCCATAACAATTTATGGATTTCTTCGACAGAATACATTTTTTGGTAGTTGCCATACTAAAAAAATAGTTTCTACACATTACTGCCTGAATTGAAAATAACACTAGTTAACAAATATAACATTAGATATCTGGAAAACTGAATTATTCGAAGTTTCACAATAACAAAGAAAACACTAGGATACGAAATACATAGAACAGCATAGATAGAACAGTTGCATAGATAGCACACTGAGGTGTGGGATACCCCATAATGACTTTCGATACCTCCCAATAATGATATAAGCCCAACGATGGAGTGCTAATGACTGTAATTAACCTGGCTATGTTTAATGTTTATTTACATGAAAAAGCTTGGCCAAAGAGCTGCTTATATAAAAGTAAATTAATATTGAAAATGTAGTGGGGTGTGTCACATCCCAGTGCGTTGTCATAGGGTTAAGAATATTAATAGAGAAAGTCTGGGACCAAAATAAAAGCTTATATCTTGCTTTTCTGGACATTAAAGCTGCATTTGACTTAATACCAAGATATGGAAAGCCCGGAGAGTAAAGAATGTGCCAGAGGGTTTGTTACTCGCCAATAAAAACAACATACCAGTCACCAAAGGGCATTGTAAGAATTAATGGTCTCGAGTCGAAGAGCTTTCTGATGGAAAAAGGAGTAAAGCAGCCTCAGTCCTCTACTGTTAATCATCTTTATGGATGAAATAATAAAGATTTGTAAGAGAAGAATAGCAAGAGCAGTGATTGGTTATTAGAACATGAGAATTAGACTGGCACAAGAAATGGTGTATACCGATAACAAAGTCCTCATTGCTCACTCTATAAATAACCTCCAGCAAACCCCTAACAGAGAGGGAAGCAGAATTGAGACTGAAGATAATGAATATTAATGCCAGAAAAAGCACTTACAGTTAAGTTAGGGCCTTACAAATATTAATGGGGATAAATGGCATAAGTCTATTTTCAGATATATTGCACAGGTTTTGGAATTTCATGTACAAAGTGAAATGGAATTAGTCTGGATAAAACAATCACTAACATGCCTGACCAACTGGAAATAAAGAGGTATCGGTCCCCAAAATCTTGGGTATGAATTGAACAAGTTACTACTCACTTAGTACTAAACATTTAGGTACCTCATAATCACTATTTTGGCGTTTATCTTACTGTAAGATAAAATATTTAAAAAAACATTAAAAAACAAGTTTTCTCCACCTCCTAAGGGGAACTGATTAAACATAAGATCTTCATCTTTAAATTTGAGATCTCTCTTCAGAGGTTGATCCAACAGAATTTAAATTTAACATCAGAGCTTTAAGAAAATTTTGCTGCAATTAAACAAAATGTCTTAAAAATATGCATATTAAACAGGCAGTGCACAACTGTCATCACTTTCTTATACTGAGGAAAATAAAAATAAATGTATCCTAAACCTAAAAAGCAACTATAGCCATCCAAGAAATTTAGTACAAAAGGCATGTTAAATGTCTTAAATCCCTAACAAGAATACTATAAATGACAATAATTCCATTTACAAAATTATTCTAATTATTAGTAATACATATATATGTAGGACCAAATACTTATATTCCAAGTATTTTTATAATATATTTAGACCGATACAATTAGTTGGAATAAAAGTCAATTAAAATTAAAAGTTCAATAATAAATCCTTTTCAACAAAACCAATTCATCATTACTTAGTTAAAAATTCAATTTAATGGAAATTTTACCTGCATGAGAAATTTGGCATAATCGAAAGGATGAGAAACAGTACTGAGGCAAATTCTAAAACCTAATGCTGAAAAAAATGTATAGGTACGATCAGCCAAATCGAAGGATGAAGCAGCCATAATAACATCAGTCAAAAAAATTGCACCTTTTTAAATATTTTAACAATTCAAGAGTTAATCACAAAAAATGACCGATGAACAGGTTAGAACTCACGGATATGTGTTATCGAAAAATTCACTAGAATTTTAACAATTTCATAACATAGTAATCGATTTATCAAAACTAGTACCTATATTTAAAGAGGTAGAATTTGTTTACAATATTTTTAATAAACAAAAATTTAAATACAATTCTGTACTAAATTATTTTACTAGTAATAATTGAAAACATATGATTTAAAATTCTTATATTCTCAATCATTCTTCCATTAAAAGTAGCAAAGTCTTTGAAACAAGCTCGTCATTCTTCACGGATAGAATGATTTATGGATATAGATCGTCCAATATGATCCTTGCTTTCCTTTTCTAATCTTATCATTTTTCATCGTATTAGTTGACGAAGGAGTGTGGAGTCGAGTCACTGTAGTGTTGGGTTTTGTCAGAGATTTTCCGTCATAGCTCTGACAAGTTTTTTTTTCCTGTTGGTGCCAGGAGCTGGTGGCGGTGATAATTATACCACGTCTCCTTGACAACAGCGTTACTGTGAAATCACCGTTTACATATTTAAACTTATATTAACATTTTCGCTGCTGCGAATGACGAGTTTTACGTCTATCACAGTGCTGAATATGCCGGCGGCCTGACATGTGGTACATGACTTTTACCTGCTTTCCACCCTTCGTTACCGGCTGTTACTACTACCTTATTTTATTGTTTCCATCCTCCTTTTAGAATCAGGCTGTGGACCGACACTGGCAGAGTAGAAACTTTTTTTCTAATATTTTTTTCATTTTTCTTTATAAGTTTAAATATGTATTTAATAATTTAATTTTGTGTGATAATTGACGTTGATGGAGCTGTTTAAATATAAGGAAGTAATGATGTTGAAGGAATCGAAATGTCTTTCTCTGTTTTTTCACTGTCACTCCTTTCAGAATCAGACGGAAAGAATTCATCACCACTTTCGGCGGTACTAATAAATTCGGCAGCACCCGCAGCAGTAAACCACTGTTTCTCCATTAAAAAAAAAAAATAAACAGAGCATTATAAAGCGACTATAGCCGACATTAGCACTGAGGGCAGGAGTTGGGCACTCCGACTATAGCCATTATCAGCAACAGTGATACGTTCAGTTGTTGCGACTATAGCCGTCGTTAGCAGTTAAAGGGTTAAAATAAAAAAATAGATAATATTATGTATAGATAATATTACAGTCCAACCAACTTGACCCTTTCCAATCTGGTTTTCGACCAGGTTACTCCACACAATCCGCCCTAATCAAAATAATTAGTTGTTCAATCCGCCATAGATAACAAAAACTAACTGTCGTTGTTCTCTTTTACTTTTCCAAAGCCTTTGATACCAATAACCATTACGTCCTTTCCCCAAACTAAAATCGTTATCCTTTTCCAACAGCTCTATCCTTTGGTTTTAATCTTTCCTCTCTGAACGTACCCGAGCAGTCCCTATTTCTACCTAACCTTTATCTTCCTATGTAACTCTGTTCTCAGGCGTGGCACAGGGCTCTAGCATATCTCCTCTCCTTTTTAGTTCTTATATTAACGACCTTCATAAATCAATTCTTCACTGTTCCCATCACCTTTATGCCGATTATTACTAAATTTACCTCTCCTTCGCTCTCTCGTGGCATGATGCGTTTGCCAAAACTTAAGAAGACTTAAGTCGGATCTGTGCCTGGGCAATTGTAAATGGATTAAGGTTAAACGCTGCTAAAACCGAAGCCATTGTCATTGGTTCCAAACTCCTTCTCAGATCCAATATCAACACTTTTCTCCTGTACCTAAATGACCAACCCATCACCTTCAGCTCTTCAGTTAAAAACTCAGGCAATTTCATAGATTAAACCCTCTCCTGGAATCACCATATTTCCCACATATCTTGACGTTCAATTTCCATTCTCAAACTCTTCCATTGCTTCCGTCATCTCCTACCCATGTCCACACGTATATTCGTGGTATCCGCCCTCATCTTTCACCAACTTGTCTACGGCTGCGTAGTTTACGATGGCCTCTCATCAGAACTCGGAGAGAGACTGAAAAAAATCATGAATGGCTTAGTAAGATTTGTCAATGAAACCCCGAGACGTTCTCTTGTTTGCCACTATTACGAATACAATCTCTTTTAATTGAAGTCATCTATCCACTCCCTCTCCGCAAGATCTCGTCCTTCCGACATTTATATTCCTTTCCACAAATCTGCCTCATTTCAACACTTCTTTATTGTCCGCTCCACCACCTTTTGGAATTTCATCCCACTTAAAATCCGCCATGCACCATCCTTATCCATATTTAAAACCAATTTATTCCAATTCCTTCTTACAATTCAATCAGAAGCTGGGTAGCTATTTATTATGTAACACGATTTCATTTTTCTCTATGCATCATTTGTATATATATATATATATATATATATATATATATATATATATATATATAACTTATGCGACTGTGAAACGAAACAATAAAAAAAAAAAGTTAAGAGGTTGAGAAATAACTTACACGGCTTCAGAAACAATACTCTTTTATTTGTAAAGTAATCCGTCTTATATACATTTAAGGCTTTGTTTACATTCTAGCACTAGCGGATCCAGGATTTATTTTTGGGGAGGGCTTCAGCCCGAAACCTTTTTTTTCATAAAAATAACGATAATTACTTTGGAAAAACAGAAAGAAACTAACTACCTATATGAAATGGTGTTTAAGTTATTCCTTAAGTACTTTTAAATGTAATTACACGAACAATAATACTTTGAGAGGTATTTTTTAATTTTTTTTTCCCATAAAACATGGTTATATTTTTCCATTTTGGAGGGGGCTTCAGCCCGAAAGCCCCCCCCCCCCCGTAGATCCGCCCGTGCATTCTAGGATGGTATTAAAGCTGATACTGCCCGACTCCTGTCCTTTTCTCTTCCCCACCAGTTTACGAAAAGCATTTCGAAAACTTTTAAGTAATCCTCGAGCGGAGCAAATTGTCTATCAGCCTTACTACCTCGTTTTTAGTACACCTAATACAATAAAAATACAATGATTATAATAATAACACAACTTAAGAGTCCACCTGCATTATGCTTACAACAGAGAAATTACTCCATGACTAAAACAAATATAATTCTTTTCATCTTTCTTAGAACTACACAACAAAATATACAACAGCACAAAAACAGGAATTAAAGCAAAATACAATAGAAAAAAAAAAAAAAAAAAAAAAACGGAACGGAACTTTTTCCTATATACATACTATTTTTACACCAAACAACAAAAAAATATATTTTCTGTGTGCGGAAAAGAGGACACTGCGGTTCATCTATTACTTTCTGCCCCTACAAACGGGAGTTTCAATTGTTCAATATGAGCTGTGCAGCTCTTTTTGGGCTCCTTCATACTCTCTATGGTTACTAAATTATGTTCCCTGATGACAACTATCCTGAATGGGCCTTCGTATCGCGTCAATTCTTTTCCTCGATTTGTTCTCCTTCTCCGGTATACGGTTGTTCCGATTTTCAAATCTCCCATCTGATCTCGTATTCTTAAATTCTCTCTACCTACCCTCTTCCTCTTTTCCCTCTCTATTTTCCCTCGTACTCTATACCAAATCCTCCTTAATTCAACCCTATTACTACTTATTTGTTCGGCTACTTGTTCGTTAGTCGCCGTTTCCTTGCAATCTCGTCTACGTCTCCGCATCCCAAACAGTACTTCGAAGAGTGAGAACCCAGCGACAGAGTGAATTGAGAGGTTATACGCTATTATAGCTTTTTTCATAGCAATGTCAGGCTCTAATCCTTTTTCTCCCTGGTACACACGTTTGTGGTCGCTTAGGGTACTATGCAGCCTTTCGATGCCACTTCGGCTTTTGGGGTGTCTTGGTGTATTGAAGTGCCAGTTTATCTTAAATCGTTTCGCCTCCTCCCTCATTGCGACATTGTCAAATTCCCTTCCTGCATCGGACGAGATTCTCTCGAGTACCCTGTAAAGTTGCATCCATGTTTGTAACGCCTCTAATACTGCATCTGACGATTTCTCCAATATTTGATACGCCATAGCGAGTTTACTAAAGATGTCAATTATGTTGACCCACTTATATCCTCTCCATGTGAAGGTGTCGATCTGGACATCTTGTAATGGTGCGTCTCCAGCGGGTGTCCCTTCTTGTCTTCCCTGGGGGGGGGGGGTGTCTGTCCTATTTCGTGCTCATACACACCTCACACGTCCCTATCGTTTCCTGGATGGTCTTTCTCATTCCCCACCAAAAGTACTTTCTGCGTAATGCCTGTAAGCCGATTTTCTTCCATCTTATTTTGTTTAATAGCTATTGACGAGCTTTAGTGTTATCAATAAATAAAAATATGAAATAGTATGTAAATAAAAATATAAATGGTAGTTTGTTCAAAACTGCTAATCTCCGAAAGTTCTCCACTGATTTCTTTTAAATTTTAACACAACGTCGCAATAATATTTAGAAGTGTTTTTATATACGTTTCATTATCATTTCGGTAATTTCGTTCGGTAACATACAATAAAATCATTCGGTGACAGTCCTTTCCTTTCGAAATGGCGGCCGAAAAGCGTGATTCGCATTAGACCATATCACCAATACGACTTCAACGATTTCAATGAAACTTGTTTTGACTTGTTTTGACTTTTGTTTCTATTTTTTGAAAATAGAAACTAAAGTCTTCCCCTTGAAACATTTATAATTTATGTATATAACATACTTACCCGAAAATAAGCTGCATAATTTTTTATGATGAATTCAGTATTTTATTTGCGAATAACTAAGAAAGTACACATTTTTAAATTAATAATACCAATATTTATTTGAAAGCTTTCTTGATTCCTCTTTAAAATGATTTAAAAAAAAAAATTATCGAAATGGAAAACAATCATCTCATCATCATGAAACAATTCGTAACAGCCAAAGGAGTAAAGCCAACGAGGAAC